GACATGGCACCAGTGTAGGCTGGGTCGACGTAAAACCCACTGTAGCCTGGGACAACCTGGTACCATTATAAGCTGGGTAGAACTGAAACCCACTGTCGCCTGGGACAACCTGGTACCATTATAAGCTGGGTAGAACTGAAACCCACTGTCGCCTGGGACAACCTGGTACCATTATAAGCTGTGTAGAACTGAAACCCACTGTATCTTGTGACGATCTCGTGTCATTGTAGGCTGGGTCTACCTGAAACCCACTGTATCTTGTGACGACCTCGTGTCATTGTAGGCTGGGTCTACCTGAAACCCACTGTATCTTGTGACGACCTCGTATCATTGTAGAGTGGGTCTACCTGAAACCCACTGTAACCTGAGACGACCTCGTATCATTGTAGGCTGGGTCGACCTGAAACCCACTGTAGCCTGTGACGACCTCGTATCATTGTAGGCTGGGTCTACCTGAAACCCACTGTATCTTGTGACGACCTCGTATCATTGTAGGCTGGGTCGACCTGAAACCCACTGAAGCCTGGGACTACCAGGTACCATTGAAGGCTGAGTCGACCTGTGAGTCTAGATCACATATTTAAAATAAACTCTCCTCGGTGCTGATTTGAACCCATGACCGTCGGGCCGGCAAGCGAGCATCTACCCACTAGGCTTCTTAAAGACTGAGCAACGTTTTCCTATAAACCAGTCTTGTAAAATTTATGTATTTGCTTTCATCCGCTGCCACAATGGTCTCCCGTTCCAGGAGAAATGGAAACATAGCTGGGGATTTCCCGAAAACGGATGTTACAAACAGGATACATATTCGGGCAGCTCGCACGGTTCCCGGGGATGTAATTTTATTCTTTCTCAAAAAACGCTTAGCGGTTACAGATCACAACACATTATGAACTATCACGTGACACAGCGTCAGCTGTCCAGACGTATAAAACAAACATTATGTATATATTATATGCTACACATGTATCCGGCAAAGTTTAAGTTACTGGTGCTTTTGTTTTCGCGCGGTGTCAACTGATTGTGAAAATAACTATTTCACTTTCTTGCTCTTTGAAAAGTAAGAATTTTTATCATCAGGAGTGTGCGTGACGTATAAAATATATGTTCAGTGTAAAACATTTAGTATTCTTAATTAACATATATGTATATAATTTTCGACTGGACAAGAAGTGTTTTGTTTATCTCGCTCAGAAAAGACAGTGGTCCACTTTGTAACATCCCCGTAGGGGTTCCACAAGCTACCCCTAACCCCTCTCACCATTTAACAGGGGGAAAGGGGGTGGTGGTAGACCCAATGCTCTCTAATAAGCATTTCGTAAAAGATGACTACTTGGGGATTGGCTGAAACTTTAGTTCGAATTTAGTCTCCCAAAAAAGAGTAGGTCACTTTTCATTCACAAGTTTGTTGGGCTGATCGACTTTGCTGAAGGTTACGGGTGTGTCCCGTTCTCTTGTCTGTTTTCATTCCGAGAAAGAGAATGCCTGTGATATAGGTAACAGCACTCTCTGTAACCCCCGCAACCGTGTGCGAAGTTCACAGGGCTCGGGAGCTACCAATCAGAAGTGAGGTAGTGTGTATATGGGCGGGGTCAGGGAAGACAAACATCGAACTAACCGGCTGAAAATGTATGTGCTGAAAAATAGCTACTGACTTCCTGGATGTACTGTTGCAATCACGGAAGGGGGAGTTTTGTTGTGTATGACTTTTCAAGTGTCTAATTTTATAGTAGTAGGGAAGCTTCGAAGAAATTCATCAGTTTGTACGTCATTTTAAAATGACAGCTAGACAATTCACGCTGGCTTATCTTATTTTTTTTTTTATGTTGACATTCAATTTAAACAAAAAAGGATATATTTAAAAAAAAAAAAAGGGGGGGGGGGGGGGGGGGGGTAATTTGAAAGAAGTACCATAATCAAGGATTTTGATAATATCTATACCACCTTGTTTACGGAAATGCCCAGACACAAATTACGCCTGAAGATATAGGAGTTTGTTTTCACTAAATACAGAATAAAGCAACAGATCTCTGGAGACACTATAATAATACATAAACTATCTGAGAAACAACCAACACTTTGGTCGAACTAATCACTGCCATGCCCTGTTCTTAAAGCTATATCCTTCTTTTTCTTATTCTTTTTCAGAGAAGAACTTTCTTTACCATGAGATTCTTTTTCATCGAAGTTGCATTATACACTCTTTGTTCTTTTTTCTTCAGCCTTTCAAGCCATTTTTTATTTATTGCCCAGGATTTACAGCTGAATGTTGAAACTGTTTCTATATAGCATATGAGAATTCTTTAATATTATTATCGCTTCTGTTTACCTTAGGCTCCATTCTTCTCTTTGATATTACTATCACTTCTATCTACCTTAGGCACTATTCTTCTCTTTGATATTACTATCACGTCTGTTTACCTTAGGCACTATTCTTCTCTTTGATATTACTATCACTTCTGTCTACCTTAGGCACTATTCTTCTCTTTGATATTACTATCACTTTTGTTTACCTTAGGCACCATTCTTCTCTTTAATATTATTATCACTTCTGTTTACCTTAGGCACCATTCTTCTCTTTAATATTACTATCACTTCTGTTTACCTTAGGCACTATTCTTCTCTTTGATATTACTATCACGTCTGTTTACCTTAGGCACTATTCTTATCTTTGATATTACTGTCATTTCTGTTCATCTTAGGCACCATTCTTCTCTTTGATGTTACTATCACGTCTGTTTACCTTAGGCACTATTCTTCTCTTTGATATTACTATCACGTCTGTTTACCTTAGGCACTATTCTTCTCTTTGATATTACTATCACGTCTGTTTACCTTAGGCACTATTCTTCTCTTTAATATTACTATCACGTCTGTTTACCTTAGGCACTATTCTTCTCTTTGATATTACTATCACTTCTGTTTACCTTAGGCACTATTCTTCTCTTTAATATTACCATCACTTCTGTCTACCTTAGGCACTATACTTCTCTTTAATATTACTATCACTTCTGTTTACCTTAGGCACTATTCTTCTCTTTGATATTACTATCACTTCTGTCTACCTTAGGCACTATTCTTCTCTTTGATATTACTATCACTTCTGTTTACCTTAGGCACTATTCTTCTCTTTGATATTACTATCACTTTTGTTTACCTTAGGCACCATTCTTCTCTTTATTATTACTATCACGTCTGTTTACCTTAGGCACTATTCTTCTCTTTGATATTAATATCGCTTCTGTCTACCTTAGGCACTATTCTTCTCTTTGATATTACTGTCATTTCTGTTCATCTTAGGCACCATTCTTCTCTTTGATATTACTATCACGTCTGTTTACCTTAGGCACTATTCTTCTCTTTGATATTACTATCACGTCTGTTTACCTTAGGCACTATTCTTCTCTTTGATATTACTATCACTTCTGTTTACCTTAGGCACTATTCTTCTCTTTGATATTACTATCACTTTTGTTTACCTTAGGCACCATTCTTCTCTTTATTATTACTATCACGTCTGTTTACCTTAGGCACTATTCTTCTCTTTGATATTAATATCGCTTCTGTCTACCTTAGGCACTATTCTTCTCTTTGATATTACTGTCATTTCTGTTCATCTTAGGCACCATTCTTCTCTTTGATATTACTATCACGTCTGTTTACCTTAGGCACTATTCTTCTCTTTGATATTACTATCACGTCTGTTTACCTTAGGCACTATTCTTCTCTTTGATATTACTATCACTTCTGTTTACCTTAGGCACTATTCTTCTCTTTGATATTACCATCACTTCTGTCTACCTTAGGCACTATACTTCTCTTTAATATTACTATCACTTCTGTTTACCTTAGGCACCATTCTTCTCTTTGATATTACTATCACTTCTGTTTACCTTAGGCACTATTCTTCTCTTTGATATTACTATTACTATCACTTCTGTTTACCAATTGTTCTAACTAAGGTTCTTCATGCTAGATGAGGTCTATTCTGTCACTTCCTGCCACTACCGTGCCTCTCAACCCCAGAAGCTCTTTCTGTAGACTCCATTATTATTTATGTTTGCGTACATCAGTACAAATGTTAGAATGGGTGTCGATGAAAGGTTAGTCTAACATGCTTTTTTTAATCCGTCATGTTTGTTGGCCTTTTTTTCTCAAATGTTTCACTGACGCAAAAAGTGGCGAACATGGCCGATTTACAATGCAGAAGCCATAAAAGCTGTTCAGCCAGAGAGAAAGGCAGTGCCATTTTCCAGATTGCTTGTTTAGACCGTGAATACACTATCATTAATCAACAGGTTGTTTACAGAACGTTGCTCTCGTTACGGCACGCATGAAAATCTCTCTTTTTCAAGTAATCTCTCTAGCCCTGTGTGCTTTCATAGCCAGTGCATTTTTAATGTCCTTATCTACCTTGGGGGATGTCTGCTGTATCATTTTTCGGAAACTGCACCATCCATCTCTGTTATTTGGCTTTCTGAAGCTTGATCAATCTTTTAGATTAACTGCTATTGCTAACAGCAAATTTAAAACAACAAAAAAATTCAAACACCAGATGATTGTAAAATAATAAGTAAAAAAAAGTAAAGATCCCTATTCCTTAGGCGCATCGGGCATATGGGAAGAGTATCCCATATCTTTACAGACCAATCGGCACTGGGTGGGTAATGTGGTCAGCATTACGCCGGCCGTCTTTACTTCCCCAGGACAGCCATCCTGGTACCCAATTTAGGCTGGGTCGACCTGCGACGCCCCATACCACAATAAAAATCCAAGCAGCCAGCAGTATGTTTCGATCACAGGTACATTGGAATTGCGAGTCGGACTCGCGACGCCTTAGCCATGGACGCCGCATTGTAAAACAATAGGAAAACATTTTTCTGCACAATGTTTCAGCATTGTCAGTAGAATAACCATTTGGTAATATCATTTTAAAGATTGGTAAGAGTTTCAAAGGAATGAAAATACAAATAAATATTACATTATTTCAGATAGCTGCGATGAATCACGTCATAGCCACAATTTCTGTCCTGGTCTTGATGGCGCTAAAAGTCATAACTGCTTCGACTGAAACCTGCAAACTGGGAAAGATGTAGGTTGTCTAAAGCCATCTGCTCCATGCTGTGTGTGTATGTGTGTGCATGTGTATTATGTTATATTCAAAGACAACCGTCAATCCCTAGAAGCCTGGTGCGGTCCCGCTGGTTTTGAGAAAGTGTCTGCTATGACTGTAAAGTCCTATGGGGGAGTAGCAGTCTTTGACACGCAGTCTACATAAAAACATTGATACTCTGTTATACCGAGGCTGGTTTTTCTCTCAGACGTCTCCACTTTATAGCTTTCTACCATAGGCCTCTTAGAAAGAGCGGCAGTGAGTCTTTCACTGTCTACCTCCATAGAAGTCGGTCTGCAGCTTCTTCTTCCTCTTCTTTTCTTCTTCTTCTTCTTCTTCTTTTTCTTCTTCTCCTTCCGTTCGCTTGGAATAGATTATCTATATCTGCAATGTTGTCTCTAGTATTAACTTCACTGTCTTTTATTAGCCTGAAGCTGATCTCTAACAAGTGTCTGCATCAATATGAGTATTTCTCAGGTCGCGTTTGCATATGTCCTTGAAGCGTAGCAGTGGCCTTCTTGTAGATCTTTTCCCTATTTCCAGTTTACCATACAGGACATCCATTGGAATTTAGCCAGCCCCCTTGCAGAAGCCATTTTCCAACCAGCGAAGGCATCTTCGCTTCAGCAGAAAGTATATTGCAGGTTTTCCGGCTTTTCTGAGCTCGCGTCCGTTGTGGACAAAGTCTCGCCACGATCTGATACAATAATGCCCAAGATTTCATTAACGTCCTTGTCTCAACATTTTGCTGCTCGCCCCTTGCCTCTTCTTCTAAAAATCAAGACTCCATTTACAGTTCTTTCAGAACCTCTGTCGCGTTTACCTTATTCAGTACTCTGTCGATCAATTAATTAATTCCCATGTTCCTCAGGGCTGCTACCTCAAGATTTACTATACCATTCTGAGAATTAAAAATCTAACTCTTAACGGCAGACCGACAAGACAGATCGCAGATACCCTGTTAAACTCTAAAGAAGTTAGAAGGTCGATCGATCCGGAGTGCTATGAAGATAATCTAACTTAAGTCTCACAAGTGTGCGCCATTCTAAATAGCAAAGTACCCCATCTAGGATGTCGCTGTGTCCAACTTTGCGTGTCTGGGTCCATTATTTTAACCCTTTGATTTTAGCAGCTGCGCTTTGTGCCTGTCTGACCTCTCAGTTTAGTAAGGTAGTGAGTCCTGGCATATATCTTTTAGGTCTAGTTACTATTATTGTTAAGCTTGTTTATATAGTATTATTATTCTACCGAGAATCCTTTCTGGCTTGTCCATGTTCTGTTTTGGGGTCCTGGGTTGGGTAGTTAGTACTCGGTAACTCGCCATGCATTTGTAGACATGCTATACTTTTCATTTTTCTGAATGCCTCTTCTGGCTGCTCCATTAACCAAACCTAATCCATTTGTTACATAAATGAATTCTGTTCAAAGCTTTTGTTATCTGAAATGCTGTTGCCCCCAGCAGTTATTAGTTGCCTCTTCTTATTTGCGTTCAACAGCTGTAATCTCTAGTGGAAAGTTCTGGTTGTTCGTTCACTTCTAGACTTTGGCCTGGTACCAAAGTGAGTTTTGCTTGCACGTCCATTTTACATTTCAGGCTTCTTTGCATGCAGGCAGTTGATTCCTTGCCTGCGATGCTGATGAACTCCAGCGTCAAAGGAATCACTCCGAAATTAGTCGCCTTTTATGCCAGTCTTGTTTGTGTCGGGAGAGGAGTGTAGGTCAACCCCCCAGTGACAACTACAGAGGTCTGTTACTAGTTTGAAGAAGGGCTTCATTTTCTATTTAGAGAGAAGGTTGCCATTACTCACTACAAAATTTCTAGGAAAGTGTTGGCACTCACCAGAAAGTGTCTTGAAAAACGATGCCGGTATTCGCCATAAAATGCTTACAAAAGTGCAGGTACATACCATAAAATGTCTTTAAAAAGGTGTCGGTACTCACCACAAAAGTGTCTAAAAACAGGTACCGGTACTCACCACAAAGTGCCCCAAACAAAAGGGTACCGGTACTCACCACAAAGTGTCTAAAAACAGGTGCCGGTACTCACCACAAAGTGTCTAAAAACAGGTACCGGTACTCACCACAAAGTGTCTCAAAAGGGTTCCGGTGCTCACGGCACAGTGAAAAAAAAAAAGGTGCCAGTACTCACCACAAGCGTTTAACAAAGGTGCCAGTACTCACCAGAGTCTATAACAGTAGCGCCGACAGAACGATTCTATAAAAAGGTGCCGGTTTTGCGAACCGTTGCGTATGACCGGAAGAGATGGGAAGCACTGGTTTGAAGTAACAACGCCTGCTTGGTCTGAACGTGAGGTTACTGTGTAACCTATGGGGGCCTCGAATGTACCTATCGTTGTTGAACAAGGCTTCTCGGAGTTGTACCTGTTTCATTCTCATCCTTGAAGTGATGAGACTACAGAATGCAATCCTGGACGGGACAGACTACCGGGGTACTTTATTTTTAGTTCACCCTAACAGTGGAAATCCCGGGATTTCCTGGAAAGTCGAATAATCTATGGCTGTAATGAGTTGGGGTTAAAACCTCATCATTACCATCATGTGGCAGGTCTTTTGCAGAACGTCGCTCTCACTACGGACTGCCTGAAATAAACAGGGTCTTTAGCCAGCTCTCCCGCCATATATACTTTCCTACCCAAGCTGTCCATATACAGTGTGCCCATCTTCGTACTGGTCGATCCCTGCCCCTCCTTACTGGTACTCTACTATTTTTTTTTTTTTTCGTATCCGCCGTGGCGCTTGTTATATGGCCAACATATTTCAGTTTTCGAGATCTACTGCTTTTTACTAGAAAAATCTTCTTTGATGTTTAGATCTTATTGGATATAATAAATTCATGAAACTGTTTTCTAGTACTAAAAGAGTTAATATGGTAGATTGCAAACAGTTGTATTTTTGTTTTGTTTTACAACAGCTCAAACCAGTGCATCGACAACGAGCCTCCGTGCGGCTACTGCGGGGAATATATCTCTATTACCATCATTGTGACAAACACACTTGTGGAACCCAAGTTTCTTTCCGAAGTTAGAGTGGAAAAAGAGCCCCAACAGACGTTGTTCTACTTCCTGCAGTTAGCGGTCAACCAGAACAGTAATCTGAAGTAGGTTTTTGGTGCTGCAGATATTTTCTACACCTCATTACATATATGGGCGTCGAAACCCGGGGGGCGGGGGGGGGGGGCTGGGTTCTTGCAACTATATAAGTTTTTTAAAAAGTATTTAAGTATTGCCATTCAGTACATTATTATTTAATGATTAAACAAGGCTTAAGCGCCCCCCCCCCCCCCCCAAATTGTAAGGATGTAAGGTGGCTGACCTAATGTATTTTCTTTGTGTCGGTGCCTCTGTTTGACATAAAAGAAAACAATTAGCTTATTGCTAGGGGTTGTGTGGTCTCGACGCATGGTGTCCACTAGAGGTTCCGTGTTCAATCCCCGGTAAGAGCTGTGATTTTTTCACGTGACTTGGACTTCTAGTACCCCCCCCCCCCCCCCCCCCATCCCCCCCCCCCCCCCCCCCCCACCCCGGTATCTGGTTAGTGAGATTGGACGCCCCTGTGCATTGTTGAGCACGTACAAAATCTCTTTGCTGTTAGAAATCGACAAGAGTAGCCTAACGGCTCTGCTCGGGCATAATTTGGAGTTGAACATCTACCCAAAGTATTTCAGGATCCTCACCGGTGCTACAGAGCCTGTGCACTGTGTTGCGCTTCTTTGTACTCAGACTTGAGGTAGAAGAAGAAGGGAGCACTTATGGGTAACTACCCGTGTGCCATGATGTTCATCCGTTGTTCAAACATTCAAACCTTCAATTAGCTTATTGCTGTGTTAGCAGGCCCCACCAAATAATAATATTAAACCGCTACTGCCTGTCGTTAGATATGACTACGGAAACTGGACCGAGACAAGCTGTTGTATAACCCATATGATCTTCGTCCGAATATAGGATGACATTTATTATATATATTTTTTTAAATTGTAATGCCTAACCCGGGCTGATGTAGGAGCCCTAAATATAACCCACGGGTGGAATGGCATTTCTGGGACTTACTTGTACCCTGGTGAGTTTCATTTGAATGGTGGCACTTTGTGTCACTGGGTGTTTATCGCTCGTTTGTGCGGTCCTGGAAGGGTTGAAGGTCAGTCAGCTTCTGTAGACAACTTATACAATTAGGGGACGTATCCAACAAAATATGGCTCGATGTGAACTAGTGGGGAGTATGTTTCACTGTGAATTGAATTGTTGAAGGATGAAGAGGAGAAGAAGAAGATGAAGAATTTGTGGTTGTTATCGATAAAAGCTGCCGACAAGTCAGATTATCCCGGTATATGCCCCCCCCCCCCCTTTTTTTCCCCTATTGTCGTTAAGCTTTTCACTCACAATTCAATGGATTTTCCTTATGTACCACATACGCCTCATGCTGTGAAATATCACAAAGACCACTTATACTACCTTCAGGAACCGCCCTGGTGTAGCTACTAGAAGCTCGCCTGCGGATCCGAAAAGCGTGGATTCAAATCCGAATGGTGCTGGACTTTTTCAGAATTGACCTTGGATTCCAGATCGACCCAGCTTTAAATCGGTACCGGGTAAAGTCCTGGGAAGTAAAGGCGGCTTTTCGTGACTCCTCAAGTGCCGATTGGTCTATAAAATACAGGTCAAGTCTTAAATGCCCAAAACGCTTGAAGACGTGGAAAATGGTCCTTTATTTTCTCATACTTTCAAAGCCATTTGTAAAACAAGGCCAGGTGGTCAGTTCAATTCCTCATCGCATTTCCTTTCATACAGTTCTACAACAGGGTGCAACGGGGAGCGTCTGCATGCTCTCGGTGCCACTCGAAACACACACGGGGAAAAGGCAAGACGAGTAGTTAACCATTTGACAACAGGTACTATCTTCATGGAAACATTTTCTGGCGGTTGGGAAGAGAAATGGAGCTGATATGAGCTTTTCCTGAATGCTGTGATATCGAATCTTTACCTAGATGAACCCAGTTCTACACAACATTTTGAAAATTATCACATTTTATTAAGCCAGGTCAACCCCAGAAACATACATATTGAGAAATACAAATTTGGGCCGCTAATATGAATCAAATCCGAATCATAATTGAGAAATTTTAAAGTGTACTGTGACCAACAAGGGTCGCCGTGGCCGAGGTCGTGGATTCGCTCCCTGGCGGAGCCGGACTATTTTCAAAAATGACCTTGACTCCCAGGTCGACCCAGCCTTGAGTGGGTACCGGGTGCAGTCCCGGGAAGTAAAGGCGACCGGCGTGATGCTGACCACATCACCCATCTTGTGCCGATTGGTCTATACAATATAGGTCTAGCCCTATATGCCCTATACGCCTAAAGGCGTGGAAAAGGGTCCTTTACTTTACTTTACTTACTGTGACCAAAAAGTTTAACGGGAAAAAAGGGGAAGTGGGGAGGGGTGGGTGGGGAGGGGGGGAGCGCCACAATGAATATGAAAATTTGAGTTTTTAATCGGAGCCTTTCTCGACACAAAACACAACAGCATCAAAGAATAGAGTCTCCCGGTGTCCCACAGGTGTGGGGAATATCACGTGAAATATTAATTTCTTTGTATTAGAGTCACTGAAGTCGCCCCTGTTTTCATAACTTTTTAGATTTACATAATTAACAATAATGTCATACATTTGCCAGGTTTTCTTCAACATACTATGCTAAACTAGGATTTATGGTGGACACTATCAATAAGGTGACAGCAAACGTTACGGCCCAAACCTACTGGCGCATCATCAGTGTGACCAGTGGCAATAAGCCTCTTGAATGTGGTACGTATTCTTTTTTTTTTTTTTTTTGTCTAAGTTCTATGAGTTAATGAACATATATTGTTGGCACTTACCTAAATTCATGAAAGTGATAAGTCCATCTTCTTCATTATTCCGAAAATTTAAATGCGTTGTGCCCGTTTGCAACATTTGCTGCGATATTTGTACCTTTCGTAGTCACTTTGGTCGGGCTGTCTGTCGAGAACTTCCGCTACCGGAAGTGACCTGGTTACTATCCAAAACAATGTCCGTAAGTTTTTGGAAATGTTTTACACGAGGTCGATTCGTTGGCGCTACTCGGAAAACCTCGGAATTCCGATGATCTATGGATAGCCGAAATCAAGTAGCATTCTTTTCGTTTGAAATCCAGCGTGCCGACACATCCAACTTATGGAGGCATTTGTTGTCCGGGTGACTGAGAAAATTTGTTTTTATTTTTCGTCAAGCATTGCCGAGAGTAAATAGTATTTGATTGGGGGCTGCGTTAGCGCAGTCAATAGGAGACTGGCTTTCACAACCAGCTGCGACTCGCTGCAGCCCACAGTCGGTGTTCGAAACCGGGCGGTTCCCGGGGTTCACCCAGCCTCTAGGAAATGGGTACCAGAGTTGACACTCTGGGGTAAATAGAGGAACGTCGTAACTATGGAGTTTCGTGTGGACGGCGACACACGCGGATAGTTTCTTATCAGGTGTCCGTACTGGTGGCAGAGCACTTATGGTTTATAACCTTGTGCAATGACGCTGGTTCACACCTCCCGACTTTACTTTTACCTTTAGTAAATAGTATTTGCCTGTCTTTTGCTGGCAGGAACGGTCTATTGCATTTCTAAACTGTCTCTTTTTGCCCTTCTACCCATCTCTTTCTTGGCCAATCTCTTGACTTGTAACCTGCTGTTCTCAAGTAGTACACTCTGGCTGCTAGCTGATTTAGTTCCATTCTGACTTGATGACCAAGCCACTCAATTCTTTGACGTTCTATGAAATTTTTTACAGAAATTGTGCTTACCATTGATTATAGCACATAAATATGCCAGTAAAACAGATATACACGAAAAACTCAGGCCCTAGCACAAAGCCGAAGTCCAAATGGTCGAACAGTCAGGGCTCTCATAATCTGTTAACTAATCCTTGAATCAGTTCCTTGCAGTCTGACATGGGTCTATTGTTTGTTTACATTAATTCATGGTCTGTGTAAATTCATCCATAATATATGTAAATGCATGCACGATCCATGTAAATTAATCCATGATTCTATTTAACGAAGGTATCTTTTTATATTTTTATTTCATAAGGAAAACACACAGGTTGTTTTTTAAACAATAAATTGCCCGGCTCTCTAGCGAAGTTAGTTAAACCTGACTTTCGCGGCGGCCGGATGACGAACTCCTTGTGGTCCGGGTTCACCCCCGGGGGTAGGCAGAAAAGCCACATTTCTCCCAGATTAACGGTACCTATAATGGAATCAAGGCCGAAGGGTTGCGATATCCATAGTACTGAGCCAAAGGGTTTACAACTCATGGTTTCTGGATACGTAAAAAAAAAAAAAAAAAAAAAAAAACCAATAAAACGGTTAAAGTGAATTTTATGCAATTGCTGTAGATTTAGCCCCTTCTTTTAAAATATATTTTTTTTTCCAAACCACTCCACATGAAATATCCTCATCACATATTTTGCTAAAAATTTAAAAAAGCAAGTCATCAAAATTCCATCTTTTTTTTTTGCGAATTCCTTTTCTCTTCTTTCCCACTGCTGGTGCATTTTCTGTCTTCCTCTTCTTCTTCGCATTCATCAGCTAACTCCGGCGGAAAGTTCTGGCTGGTTGGGGGGGGTGGGGGGGGGGGGGTGCTTTACTTTGTGAAACTTTGCTATAAAGGAAATACTGACAATCATTTATCAACATCATTTTATAGACCACATGGCCCAGATATGCTGGTTTACATACATACTACGTATGACTATGTATATCAAGTTTTATCTATTGTTCATCAGGTGTGTCATCTTACATACCTGTACAAGGTGAAGTGATCTTGTTTAACTTCACCACCTGGAGCGACACCCAAAATGAGAAGGATGCAGCTTTCCCACAGTGCATTTTTGGTGGCTGCAGCTAAGAAATTTCTATGTGTTTTTTAATTTTGTTCTGTTTGTGAAAGATACAGTAGTTTTTATTCTAGAAATAAATAAATTGTGTATAGTTCTTCTGAGTTTTTCACCCTTGTCAGACAAATGTATTATTACAGTTTAAGAAGAGAGTATATCATTTTTGTCTTATTTTGTATTTTTCGGTTTGAACAGAACCAGGTCTGTATGAGTTAGAGGTGGATGCTTTATCTCCAAGCCACTGCCTCTATTTCTTGTGAGTCAATAAGTTGGACAAGCGACAATTTTTCTTAACAAGATAAACATGCTTAACTTCTTCACTCTCAAGTAGTCTTTAATGTATGGTAGGCCCTTTACTGTGAATCCTAACCATCACCTACTGTTGTGTGTCAACTTTTGAATTTGGTCACAACATCCTACATAAATCTGGCTTTTAAAGTGAACCTATCCTTTTCATATTTAGTCTCACTGGTTTAATATCCTTCTTTGACAAATGCTGGTAACTCTTCTGGAATTAAAGCGGCAGATGTGGTAAATCATTGATGACCTTAACCTGGGCTTGACATTTGACACATGCTTGTCATACTAATGCCACGTAGACAACGTCATACTCAGAGCCAGGAAAGGTCTGACAGCACTCAAGGTGTTAGCAGCAGCTGATATTGAACAACGCCTACTTTTCCTACTCTATCACGGGGCTTGTGCTTAGCGTCATTGACTATAGTCTTGGCCTCCTCACTGTCAGCAAAACCCAGCTAGAAAGACTGGACCCAGTACAAAATGAGGCCATGAGACTCATACTCGGCTGCACGAAAGACACCTCCTGCAACGCCATGCGTTATGTCCTGGGTTTGCCAACGATGACTAGCAGATACAAAGTGGCACAGGTCAAGGTGTTCATGAGGGTATCGGTAGAAGTTAAGCACTCATTGCACAAAGCTATATACGACACAAAAGGAACGCGTCTCAAAAGAGGCCGCTCTTGGATGGCAAAGGGTTGGGATTTAATCCAGCAGGTATGTGACATAGACGTTATCAGTCATGGAGATGAATAGACGAATACACCAGTAGACATGAATGGCATCTCTAAGGTTGTCATCACACTCAGAAGGTACTGCCGGGATCAGATTCCTGCGGCCGTAGACACAGAAGAGAACTGATAGATCAGCATTCAGACCCAGAAGATATCATCATCTACACAGATGGATCCGCGAAGCGCGGATCAAGGTCAGCATGGGCATACACAGCGCAAAGAAGGGGGAAAACAATACAGATCGACAGCGGCGCTTAACAGACAACCACGTTAATATGGTGAGCTACAAACACATTAATATCATTACTAGCAGTCTTAATAAATGCAAACAATTTAATGTGATATCAGTAGCAGTCTAAATAAACACAAACATATTAATATAATTATATCATGAGTGGCAATCTTAATAACTCCAAACACATTAAATGGTGATATCATTAGTGACAGTCTTAATGACAAAAACACATTCATTTGGTGATATCACCAGCAACAATCTTGATGACCATAAACACACAGTAATATGGTGATATCATTAGTGACAGTCTTAATGACTACAAACATAATAATTAATGACGTGAAAATATAATTAGAGACAATCTTGATAAATACAACAACTGGTGGAGATATCGACGGTGATAATAATGCATTTTCAAATGTTGCGGAGTTCATATCAGTGAATCAAAACACTTAAAAAGAAACCACAAAATATAATCTCAAATAAGTGATTGTCTATACAAATACCAGTTTCACTTTGGTGGATACAGCAGCATTATAGTCTTTGAAAATACATGCAGATCTTAAAGAGGTGGATAGAGCATCAGTGATATTCTTACCAAATACAAACACAATGTTATGGCTACAGCATCAGTGATATTCTTACAAACACAAACACAATGTTATGGCTACAGCATCAGTGATATTCTTACTAAACACAAACACAATGTTATGGCTACAGCATCAGTGATATTCTTACCAAACACAAACACAATGTTATGGCTACAGCATCAGTGATATTCTTACCAAATACAAACACAGTGTAGTAGCTAAAGCATCAGTGATATTCTTACCAAACACAAACACAATGTGGTGGTAGAGCATCTGTGAAATTCTTACCAAACACAAACACAATGTTATGGCTACAGCATCAGTGATATTCTTACCAAACACAAACACAATGTTATGGCTACAGCATCAGTGATATTCTTACCAAACACAAACACAATGTTGTGGCTACAGCATCAGTGATATTCTTACCAAACACAAACACAATGTTATGGCTACAGCATCAGTGATATTCTTACAAACACAAACACAATGGTATGGCTACAGCATCAGTGATATTCTTACCAAACACAAACACAATGTGGTGGTAGAGCATCTGTGATATTCTTACCAAACACAAACACAATGTTATGGCTACAGCATCAGTGATATTCTTACCAAACACAAACACAATGTTATGGCTAGAGCAGCAGAAATGTCTAGGTGGTGGATAAAACATTAATCAGTTTTAGTGCGTTTCAGTTGTGACCACTGTCAGTAAGTGTGCAGACAGATAAAGGAAGAGAACACTAAAAAAATTCTTGACAACCTTTTGTCATAGTACGGAGGGGAGTCGGCTCAAGAGCTGAAACTTGCTGTTGAAGATCGCAGTTTGGGAAGAGGCATGATCGTCTACGCCAGACGGCAAGACAATTGAAATGATTATGATGGGTTTTACTAAAGATAAAATAACAATTTGGTGGATTTGGCAAGCATGGACAAAAGTCTGCATGTTGCAAGCAACAGCTGACAGGATAAGTTGGAAAGCAAGCAAGCTGGATTGAGACACAGAACGAAGGAACAAACTTTTTTTTCAAAGGGTTACAAATTAGGCACGCAGGCCTGTCTTACATTCCAAACTCCCATCTTTCACACAGCAGTTGTATCTCATCAATAAAGCATGTTATGTTTATGTAATAATATTCATATTATGAATATCAAGTCAAAAGAGAGAGAGAGAGAGGATATGCCGGACAGTCTGACACCCATGATATAGAGAATGACCTCTATTACTCTATTAGAAAACACAGACAGCATGCCTGATAGCAGGCTGTGGAACCAATAAGATGACCGATGTTACAGATCAGAGTATTTCATTTTTTTTAATCCCTATGTGGGTTCCGGGACTCCACGGAGGGGTGAGGGTGGGAGATAGCCCCAACTCCCAAACAAGCATGCTGTGCAAGATGACTAACTCGAGATGTTTACTTCAAAGTCGGAGTGCATCTGCCTGACATGCAAGGAACCAACAGCCTGCACATAAATAAGCCAGATCTATAAAAAGAATGTGCCCACAAAACTCAACTCCTGGTATAAGACCAATGTCCAGACATGTATCCAAGACTTTCTGCCAGAGCTGACAGCCGATGAGCACGAAGAAGAAGTAGAATGCACAAGTAGAATCCTTTTTTAAATTATAATATTTATCAATTATAATAGGTTTGTCGGTATGATTATTCAAAATATGAGATGTCCACATGCCTCAGAAAACTGGAAAAAACCGCCAAAGATAATCAGAATAGTCTTAATAACATGGAAACTTCAATACAATGGAAATAAGGTCAGCGAGGATCCCCTGAGTGGGTTCTGGGGCCCTATTATAAGGAAAACAAGACTAGACCCACTGCCTACACAAAAGCATGTCGTAAGAGTTGACTAATTGGGAGCTTCCTTTGAAGTCAGAGTGCATCTGCTTGAGAGGTAAGGAACCAACAGTCTGCACACAAATGTGTCAGATCTGTCAAATGAATGCACACGCAACACTTAGGTTCTGGAACAGGACTGAAGCCCAGAAGTGGATGAACAATCAGAACTTTCCACCAAAGTTTACAGTGGTGAACGCAAAGAAGAAGAAGAAGTTTAAAAAAACACAAAGTTCATGTACTATCTTCTTCAGCTTGGGATTCCCTGCAGCAAATATGTCGATCGTTGTCCTATATATTGCATAAATTCAAAAAATGCTGTCAGAGATTATCACAAACAATAAAATAAAAGGATAAATATTTTTATAATACACAGAAATAAAGAGTCGAGAAGCCTCTACCTATATTTCTACTACTTTCTTTGAGTGTGAGTGCTAATCATCATTTTTTCAATTGAAAAGGTTTACTGAAATATTGAGATTCTCACAGTCCATGCTGTGTGGTGGTGTAGCAGCAGCAGCATCAGCAGCAGTAGGTGTAGCAGTAGTAGGCAACCATCGGTCCCTGGGGACCATGGAGATGTGCCGCTGGTTTTGGTAACAGCGTCCGCTTTGACTGTAAAGTCCAGTGTGGGAGTGGCAGGCTCTGCACATAGTTCACATAAAATTGTTGATGCGCTATTGTTCTGAGGCGTTGATAGCCGTGTCTTTTCATAACTTAAGTGTTGTGTATTTTCTATCAGTTCTACACAGATGATCTTCCATGCCGTGATTTCACACTATCCAGCATCCTCTCTCTCTCGGGCTTTCTGTATTCCAGTTTTCTCCTTCTTGTGGCATGACCAAAGAATGTAGGTTGTCGCTTCTGGTGTGAACAATCAAGTGTTTTCAGGAGTCAATTTCTGTCAAGACCTCTTCATTACTCCTTTTATCTGTCCAGTGTATGCTCATCCTCGTCTATAAAACCAAATCTCTGCTGCTTCCACGTAATCGTACACTAACTGTTCATGATTCACTTTCCTATATCAGGATAGGATTTAAATAGCTCTTCAGAATTCTCGTTCTCACCTCAGTTTACATGCCAGTTTCACTATCCATACAAATTGACAAGCAGAAACAAACCTGGCCAGCTTGAGCCAGATGTGGACATCAGAACCCCTGTAGTGGTCAAGTTTACACAAATGGCTCCCTCTGTTTCATCAATACAGCTGCTGTTTTGCCATGTCCACCTTCTCCATGACTGCAGGCAGGGGACAGACTTGTAGGGAATATCCTGTCATATCTGCTAGGCCACAATATCACAGGCGGGAGGTACCTATCTTGAATTTGACATATTTGTGGCGTCTCATCTTGGGGCCCATTCAGAAGTGAAACATAAGAAACTTACATATTTTGGACAGTTATGGTTAAAGCCATACATGCAGAAACTGTAATGTATGAAAGCTACCTGTTACTAGTCTTAAATGCTGGCTGCACTTACATACTCTTGACAGCGAAGCGACAAATAGCCTGTGATACCCACTCCAGTGTACTTGTTGCCTGCTGTGTTCCCTCCCTCTTTGTCAGACTATTGACTATCAGCTTCCCTGCAAGATCAAGGGAATTGTAGAAAACACAAACATGTTGCCTTTCAGTAATAATTTTACAGAAAATTCAAAACCTCAATACCCCATGGTCTGTCTACAAGGATGGCACTGTCCTGCCTGACAAATTACTGGTAATTACACAGCATCACCCCCCCCCCCCCCCCCCCCCCCCCCCCCCCCGCCCTCCTTTCCCAGCTGTGGGTGATTTGGCATACGACTGCCTTGCGTTGGTTTTGACATTGGTATCAAGAGCCAACAATTCAGAAAGTAATGGGAAACTACTGAACGTGAAATTACAAACAGCCACATGCACAAAATGTCAGGACTGGTTCTGCGACACACTGTAAAGAACATGCAAACTAACTTTTTTTTCTTTAAACATATATACTGGACTGAAGGTTTCTTTGTAACCATAGAAGTGCCCTAATTGAACTTGTGTTATACAGGTGAATTGGTTTCTGGGAAGAGCTCCTGTCTGATTCTCACCCTTGAGATGTTAATCCTTTGAATAACAATCCTGGAGAGGAACAATGGCCACTACCACAACCACATGTCAACTGTTCTTTGCTGGAAGACTGGCTAGATACCATGACTGGTTGATTAACGTTTCACCCCACCAGGAAATCACACCTAGCGATAAACATCCAGTGACACAAAGTGCCACCGTTCCGATTAGGATCACCCAGAGACAGGTCCCAGAAACACCATTCAACCCATAGGTTGGGTTATATTATGGCCCTGGCCACAGCCAGGGTGGGACATCAAAACAGCGAAAAATTGTGTCCCACATTGGGACGGAGATTGTAGATATTATGATGTTTAAATCAAGAAGAAAACCATCAGAGAAGTTTCAGAACTGTGTAAACATTATTTCTGAACACAGGTTTGAAGTAAGGCTGTGGGTTTTTCTTCAGTTCTGTGCATGCTGGTGGTTTCCCTTGATTCTCTTGATCCTCAAGGTCCCAGATCTCTGGCATGGAACATCCTGGTCTGCAGACATATCACAACCAATTATTATGTCAGTTCAGGCACAATCATATGACAAAATTAGAGCACTAAACAAAAACAATTAATTTAAAATGCATAAAAGAAAATGGGAAAAAAGGAACAAGACTGCAGATCGGTGAATTTTTTAGGAGGAAAAAAATGCTGCCTTTGCTTGGTCTATCTACATTTAACTTTTTTTAATACATCTTCCATCTGATGTTATCAGGTTCCCTAAGTATTTAAACATATCAACTTGCTTGAGGCTTGTCATATTTTCTTTGATGTTGCATTTTGGAGGGTCAGTTTTCTTTGTAATTACCATTACTTCTGTTTTTCTGATGTTCAAACTAAGACCCTTGTTTTCACTTTCCGTTACAATTATATCCATCATTTCTTGCAGCTGTATTAAATTTTCAGCGATCAAAACTATATCATCAGTTTATCGCAGGTTGTTAACAATATCCCCACTAACCGATATTCCTGGCCTACCATGTATGGATCTAATTATTTTTTCACCGTACAAAGTGAATAAATCGGGTGACAGTACACATCCATGTCTAACGCCCTGTTTCATGTTTTGAAAAAGTCGAACTTAGTTGTCAATCCTTACGGCTGCATCTCATTGCCAGTATATTTTTTTTCAATTACTATCAGATCTTTATCAGCAATGTTTAAGGTTTCCAAAATTATAATAATTTCTTTATATTTCACTTTATAGTCGGCTCTGTGGCTAAGTCGATGCGAACACTTCGCTTCGAAATGCCGGGATGCCGGGTTCGATCCCAGCTGCGGGCAATGCGCCTTGCGTTGGTTTCGACAGTGGTATCAAGAAAGCCGACCGTCCAGAAAGCAATGGCAAACTACTGGACGTAATTTGCCTAGAGAAACCACACAACAGCCAGGGGCTGTTAGGGTTGGTTCTGCAACGTCCTGTAAAGGATACGCAACAACCTATTTCACTTTATAAAACGCTTTGGTGTAATCAATGAAGCACAAGTACAGATCTCTGTTCATGTCAATCATTTCTTTCTGAAAGTGCAGACAGTGTAACAGAAGATAAAGGTGGCACACACTGAGAGTGGTCATAACTTTCAACTGTAGCATACTAGTCTGCTTACTTGGTTCTCTTCACACACCACGAGTCTTCCAGCACTGCGTACTGAACTCCTAGACTTCTGAGATTCTCCTTCACTTGTGCCAGAGGCTTGCGACTGTACATACTGTAGACGAGTTTCGTTCTTCCCCTTAAGAATACAAAAGGTATGGTCTGTTGAACATTTGTTTACGAATGTTCAATAACTTGAACAGACAAGAGCAAGTCGTTATTCTATGCCTTAGAAAAGGACACAATCAACTTCACAGCCACATGTACAACAAAATTTAGGATCGGCGAATCAGCCATGTTTACATGTGGATTAGCACCTGAGACAACAGATCATGTCCTCCAAGACTGTCCCAAATACAACAAATCAAGGCAAAATTTTTGGCAAAGAGAAACACCTGTGCAAGCCAAACTTTAAGGGTCGCTGAGTGAATTACAACAGACAGTAAAGTTCTTACTAGAGACAACACTGCAGATATAAATAATCTACTTCAAGTGAACAAAAGAAGAAGAAGACTTGAATAGCAGAATCCTGAATAAACAAAATGAAAACTTTCAAAAATAGATAAACCGAAAAAAAAATTCAAACTGGAAAGAAGAAATCATTACTGAATTAAAAACTGAGGTCCCACTTCTTCTTCTTCTCTATTCAACCTTAAAAAGATGTTTGGCCTATTGTGGTATACAGCAAGGCTGTGATATCTGTACCTTTAAGCCCAACACATCAAATTTGAGTAAACTCCTAATCAATCGCCTTTTATGACATGCTTGTGATGGGGCAGTGGGTCTTTTAATTTTCACACTCAAAATGTGGGTCTGGAACCCATACTGGAACCCACACGCTGAAAAGTCCACAACTAAGGTATTTATATCTACAATGATACAGCTAAGTGTTACAGGATGTGCAGATTAAAACATGATCACAATGAGAAGGTGCAGGGGAAGTGTTCAAGAAGAAGGGAAGGTTACAGCAGGCATGTAAACAAAGTCAAGAGATAGACTGCAAGAAAACTATGAATGCCCCCCCCCCCCCCCCCCCCCCCCCAAAAAAATATTGTGCAATCAAAGATACAGAATTTTTTCGGATTTGGAAATTTATAAGGAACTTATGATCCTACAGAAGATCCCTCATTTAATAGAGGTAACATATGAACACATGAAATGAAGAGTTCATCAATAGGGAAAATTTCCAGACATATTTCAGATAAGAGCAAGAATGTGATAGGGATACCTTCTGTCATCTTCATAATTCTTACTGACTAAAAACTGTAATGAAGACAACAAAATACAGATAGTAAGCATGAAATATACCTGAGCCCAGCATCTTCATAGTGCGGGTGATTCACTATTGGCCTCAGAGTGCATAGTTTTACTGTGGCCATGGTTGGCATTGCTCCAGCAAAGACTGCGTCTAAAAGATGCACATTTAAAAATCATGATCATAGATCTCTCTAAATATGGAGAAAGAGGTATTAACAATGCAGAGAAAGGAATACTAAACACACAAAACAGAAACAGTGGAGCTAAAAGCAGCTGTAGGACAGTGGCTAGTATGTGGATCTGGTGATCATGTGTTCAGTTCAGTATCTGTCATTCAATGACTTCTATCTTTAGGCACTGGTGAAATAGGAAGAAAATTGCATTATCTTGTTACTCTGAAAAAAAAAAATATGCTATCCTCTAGATCTGCTGAATAATGAATTAAGAATCGACATCACAGCCAGCACTCGGGACACTCCAATAAGTTCTCCATCTCCCAACTTCAGCAGCAAGAGTTACAATTCTGATGGCACCAATAACTGATTGTATATCCGTTATACCTTTTTCACATTCTCCTCAGATCGCAATGATCTACCTGTGCCTCTGCACTGTTCACTAGCTACCAAACAGCCAACATCTAGCTTGTCATACATCAATTCACCACCAAGTGGTGCAAAACTGGCCAGTTTATCTGCCTGCTCATTTCCCTACACACCGGAGAAAATATCCAAAGGATGCTAACTACCCAGAACCTCTGAAGTGATGACTGCCACTTTGTACGGAGCATGCCTATCTCCACCTTTCTCAGCATGCTTTGTGAGTCAGTTACAATCACGGCATGCGCGTACAGCTGATTCTCAAGCCAATGAAAGGCAGCAGTGACTGTCTTCACCTCCATTCTCAAACTTCTGATATCACCTGAAGACGGAATCAAACACCGAGTAGACACTCCGTAGCTCCAGCGATTTGAATCAAGGCACTTTTGAAGTCTGGTGGGATCATCACTAACCGAATTTTGATCTATACAAGAAAATTAACAAACGTATAGCATCAAATGCCTGCTGCGTCACTGACATAAAAAAAAAGGGGGTTGTTAACTTTACTATTTCTTTTTCACGTTATGGGCAGACAACTATGGGCAGATATCTATGGGCAGACAACTATGGGCAGTTATCACATATCGAAGCTACACTAACCACCAACTTCTCATTAGGTATACAAACCTGGAACATAATTAGTCTTCTGGATAGACAGGAGTCAATGTACACACATTTACCTGGTGGAGTATGGTTATTGATCCACTCTATAAGTTCCTCTTGTTGGACATTACTGAATTCTCCAATGATCCCCCGCTGCTTATCTATGTTTGCTTTACCCTGCCATGCCATGGAGGCCAACAGAAGAATCAAGGCAGCAGCATGAATGTTCGGTCTGGCACGAAGCTCTCCGAAAATCTGCAAGGATATCACAGAAATGGTTCTAGCTTATTCATTAAGAATCTGTAAAAATTTTACGCCACATTTTAATAGCCATCCTGGGTCACAACCACACACCCTGGTCAACGGAGCTCTGGTGAAGTTGTCACAGGCAAGCCGGCAGTGGATTTATTTCACTACTGAGAATACAATAAGATATAAACGGACTGATCAAATGGTATTCGATCATGACAATGTTAAAGGACTATGAGAGAGAGAGCATCAGAGCATCGGAGTCTGTGTGTGTGAATGTGTGTGTGAGAGAGAGAGATGGGGGTGGGTGGAATAAGAAGAGACAGGAAAATGAGAACGAGACAGAGTAGCGGGGAGAAATAATAGATGGGAGATAAGGAAAGGAGAGCGAAGTCTAATGCTTTCATTTACGTATTCGGATAATAGATGTAAACACATGAGTATTTTCTAACATTGCGAACAACGTACCCTTGGTGACACCAACAGCGATGAGTACAAGCAGAGATGCGGGGTCCAGAACAGCTTCAGTCTCATTACCATCACAGCCATGCCTGTAAATGCCAGCAACTGGAACGTATGGTAAACAATCTGCAGAAGGAACAAAAGCTAAAATTAATTCTTTACGGACCGGACACTATGTGAATCCATCACATTCAGACCATTCACCATAATAATGGCTCTTAATAGCGACTAATATTTTTTTTTCCTGGGAAAACAGATTTGTATGAAGTGAAATCCTTTCATTTTTATAGTTTGCCATCGTGTTTGGGTCACTTTCTGATCTGCTTTTAATTAATCAAATGTGATACAATTTTTATGTGATTTTTCCAGACCAAATGATAAGGAAAAGGTCTAAAACTGGTCATACTACTCTGTCGTTGATGAATCTGAGCCAGATGGTGATAACAGTCTTGATATTATGATTGACAAAGTGCCAAACCTATATCTGATAATACAGGATAGGATGAAGCTGAATACAATATTTCAATCGGAATCATCCCTGTTTCGATCAGCTGTGTCAGGAATTTGGTTGTTGTGAAATCCGACATTTCACAAAAACACTGTTACAAAATCAAAAATATTTAAATAAAGATTAGCTGATGAATACTTGAAAAGAGGAGGCTTGTGAATTCTTAGAAATGGACAGTGTGTTTTGAACAGTAAAATGTAAGGAAAGCACAACATTTTATGTGTAAATAATCTTCATTTGTGTCCTATATCTTTAATTTTGTGGGATTTTATTGTGCTTTTGTAGTACTTACACTTAAATTGTGTTATTTTGCATTCATTTCTCTTTAGTTTGATATATTACATGTCTCTATACAGCCGATACTTTTTCTTCAGGAGGATTTCAGCTTCGTCATGTTGCAGTAAAAATGTAAGGTCAAAATTAATGCTGTCCAAACCTCAGCAAAATGTCATCCAGAGAGTTAATGAAATATAAAATATAATTAGAAAGCTCAATAAGAGGTAGGCACACACAGATTCAGGTATCTTTATATTCAAGTATTCATACAAATTAAAAAAACTGGCTAGAATCTTATATTTTAAAAAAACCCAGAGGTAACAGTACATTACCGATGTTACATATTTAGCAGTTGAATCATAGGTGCCAGAACCTGGAGACTTAGGCCCATTCAGCAGCCAAAATGTTTCTAGGGTTGGGGGAGGAGCAGGGGTGGAGGATTTAGATCCAGAAGGACTCCCCCCCCCCCCCCCCCCCCCCCCCCACACCACCACCTAATTCTTGGGAGGAGCTAAGCCCAGACACTCTAGAAAAATGTGCAAGTTAGCTAAGTGGTTCCCCGCAACCATGTATAGACATTTTGTTTTTAGATATTTGTTTTTAAATTTCATATTATTTCAAATACGTTATTGCATTTGTTGTCATTCAGCCCATAATATCATAATTACTGCACATTTAAACATGGATTTATCCATTCCCTTAGATAATTATAACCCTACCCCAAAATTTGTTGGTTGTGGCGCTCCTGAGATAAAGGTGGACAGATCTGTGCTCTAATTACTAAAAAACAGGACTGAATATAAACTATTAATGTGATGAATATAAACATTTATTTGAAAAAGCCTAAAAAGTACCAGCAGTGTTAAGGGCTTACTAAAGTCCATTTTTGGCGGCGTTGTCCACTTTCAATGTTGTGAAGGGACTAGTAGATGCTACTGAGGATGATGATGATGATGATAACAATGAGGGCAGGTTAAGAGTTAAAAAATCCAGCTGTACTCACCTCAGCATCATGCTTGGATGTTTCCCTAAATCAAGAAACAGTAATGCATATAGTCTTGCACTAGGTTACTCATAATTACTGCTTTCATAAACACGGTAACAACTTGTTAACATGAATTTTTAAGGGACCAAACAGTTAAGAGTTTGTGTAAAAAAATTCTGTGTCAATGTGGCACTAATATAATAATTCCCTGCTGGGACCAACATTTTGTTCATTTAAATTGAGCGTTCTTCCTATGGTATGGTTCTTTCTAAGTGAGCTCATATTAATGTGGTTTATATATATATATATATATGTTCTGGGATGTACGAATGAACGAACGATCTTATTTTTTCTATGGTCACATACTGGGAACACAGGGCATTCAGCCCTTCAAGATACTTATCTTCTACATTTCAATTGTATTTTGTATCTACAAAGCAGGTTACATTCATATAGCAAAATACACAGTATGATGAGTGTAGGGTATAAAAAATACATAAGCATGAATAGCAAATACATACAGTGAAACACACACACATAGGGTAGCGGCAGCTTTGGATTTCATTAGAAAACAATCAGGGAAAAGGTCTGGCCATTAAAAGCAGATGCCAAAAATCAGTAAACCCCAGCAAGCAATGACGTAAAGACCAGGCGGGAAGCAAAGGAGAGCCGACCATGCAAACAGTAGATAGAGGGAATAGCAGAGTCCCTGGGAATCCTCATACATGAAGTGCCCAAATGAGCACTTTCCCATAAATTATACTTCACCTCGATACAGTACAAGAGGATCAAGATCAAATGATGATGAGATAAAATATATGTTCCAACTATATGTACGCATATGCTCATAGATTCACATATAAACATGATCATATATACACACACAAACTTACACACCTACAATAGGCAATCAGCATGAAAGCGACCACATCAACCACTGAGCGCTTGTTTCTTCTTCCACCCTTTATCCCCTAATGAAGCATAGGCCCTCAACTAACTCACGCCAAGTTGTCCTATCCTTTACATTTTCATACAGCTCATGCCATGTCTTTCTCCCCATCTTTCAACTCTTTCAGTCCCAGGAAGGTATACTTTGACTGGGTCCAGATTATTAGGTAGTTGTTTTAAATTATAAAATGCTTGTGTTGAAAAGGGTTAAATAATACCAAAATAGAACTTTCCCAAACAGCACCCATATACACAAAAGGATATCCCTCTATGTCATCTCTGATGAAAATGACATTACTCTTGACATAGGCAAAGAGAGAAAAATCAAAGGGTCAAAAGGGGTGGTACTTCATTTAAGGTATCATTGTCTACTTGAAGCAGCAACTCAAAGCTCCCTCTTTAAAGCTTTCTGTAAGAATGTTAGTTTCGCTGGCAAGTGGGACAAGAATACCAGACGACCACCTCATGGCCCCTAAGACTTCCACTGCTCTGAATTTTCAGTACTATTTGTGGCAGTGTCTTGTCCAGTGCATGTGCTGAAAGTGCACGCACCAGTGGTGTACTGACCGCTTGTCTGGAGGTTTGGCATCCTCCAGAATAAAAGATTTCACGGGTCTGGTTGCTGGGATACCAAGGCCCACACAGTGACTAGGCTGAACACTTTCAGGCCCATAAATTTTGACGGACTAAAAGTTCAAGTCAAGAGGTTCTGCCTCATTGTACTGAGTTTTATGCCATATGTCTCAGTCCCTCTGCCTGATGCATAAACTCCACAGCTCAAGCAACAATCCCTAGGGATCTTTGTAGAAAGTGCACTCGTGAACTGAATGATGCAGTCTGTGAAACAAATTCATGATCTTCAGAGGGTGAAGCTGAAAGCTTAACCACTGTGCCACAATCATACCAACAGAAGTAAACGGCTTCTGACGGTCTGAAAAAGTTACTTGTTTCAGTTAGGTTTTGCGGATGCAAATTCCTCTTTTATGGACCGGGAGTCCAAAGGTTTCATAGCCTAGTTACTGAGCTGAGTGCTTGGCTTGATACTGTTTGTATGTGGAATGTCTGTTTTTCTTCTCTTTCTGTTGTATCAAAGGTGTGTCATTGACTGCATAAAAATAGCAGTGGCCGATTATGTTCAGAATGGTGTGCACTTTTGCGGGTGCAGCACTGGCTTCCATGACTGACCATCTGAACCACAATGTGGTCTGCAATTCTGGTGTGGGACCTTTATTGTTGGCACATCTAACAGTTGCCTTGTGCATTTTTTATTTTCCGTGTACAAGCTCCAAACTTCTGCATTGAGCTACAAGTTTTTCACTAGTTTTCAAATGGGACAACGGAAGATATTTTCTGTGATTTCCCCCGCACATGAATGAGGCAGTTATGGGGTGACCCATCTGCAGTGCTGCTGGAATCTTAACTAACGACACAGGTATTTATACAAATTTGGCCGTACAATATTCACATTTGTCTGTATCAAGTGCAGTTTAAAATATTCTCTTTATGATGCTAGGAAATTATCTGACTATGCACTAACAGATGGCAAGGAAACAAGGTTGAAAAACAGATATATAAAAAATATGTAAAAATTTGTTAACTCATAAATACATACATTTCCAAAAGAGATGAGTGCTTGCTATCACTGATTTTAACGATCTTGTTATGTATAATACTTGTACCCAGTATTTCAGCCATTAGTATCTGTAGAAAGGTGGCAAAACACAAAAATAGATCAGCGATACAATAAATGTTGAATTTTGAATTAAGAATTTACATCATAGCACTCAGGACACTCCCACAAGCATTCAGTCCCCATCTGCAGCAGCAGGCAAAGAGTTCCAATTCTGATGGCACCAGTGACTGTTTGATTGTGTATCTGCCGCGCCTTTCCCTTGAGTGGTGAGCTTCAGCCAGATTCCCTGGTAACTCCTTGCAGCGCCCTCTCCTCAGACTGTAATGATCTATCTGCGCCTCCTCACTGTTCACTTGCTTCCAAAGGGCCTTCACAACGTCTAGCTTGTATTACATCAATACACCCCCAAGTGGTGCAGAACCGGCCAGTCTATCTGATTGCTCATAAACGTATTCGGTGTTACATTCTGTTACTCTGGATTCTATTACTACCTTTACCATTTTTTTTATCTTACCCAGGGATCCTTTATTATTTCTTATCTTACCCAGGGAATACATTATTTCACATCAATAGCTCCTGCATAAAGCCTCGGACAGTGCTAAGGGTTACATACTAAAAAGAGGGAGGTCTTGGAAAGTGTCAGATAAAGACACAATTACACATGTTTTGCATACTTGAAAACTGAGTGAGGAGAAGAGTGAGTCAGTCTCTGAGCAACTATCAGATTTAAGTTGTGTTCTAATCACATAGAGTCGGGAATGCTAGGACTGGCCAGCAGATGCTGCAGAATCAGAAGTTCAACCACTGATTCATGACAATTCCTGAGCAGGCAATGTGATTAGCTACACAGATGGCTTTGTGCTGAGAGGCAGGAGTGGTGGACGTTCAAAGCAAAAGCCAATGGATGTCACTTAGTGCAACAAACCCTGGCATATATCACATTTAATTTCAGACAGACCTAAAGGCAGTCATTGAGCCTTTCGCTGGCCTTCAGAACTAGCTGCCCACACATGCTATGACTGTAAATGACTTACAAAACATACTCAGAAAGAATATGGAGACAGGTATACTCTGTGCAGAGTGGCAAGCATCGCTTCAGGGGGTCCCAGGTAATTAATATTCTTTGAATATTTTCTCTGGGGCAATTCAGGTGTGTTGGGAAATGTGCAGGCAGAAAGACTGACTGGTTCTGCACTATTTGATGGTTAACTGATGCAAAATAGTGTGGAGACACAGATTATTATGGTTTTAAGATAATGGTGCAGTTGGGAGTAATAAGGGAATCTGGCCAACATTCATCACTCAGAGAAAAGGCAAGACCGACATACAATCAAACTGCTATCAATACCTTCCAAATTGGAACTCTGCTGTGGAGGCTGCTGGAGAGGGGGACATGCACTTATGCTGTAATGTCAGTTCTCAACTCAACTTATCTCATCTACCCCATGGAGAAGAGAATATGTCTTTATGTTTTTCCATACTTTAGCATGATTTTAAAAAACACCTTGGTTTAGCATCATATACCTCAATAATTACTCATAATAATTACCGAAAGCAGTCACAACTGAAGAATCATAAATCCACTCTGGCAATAGCAGAAAGACATATAGTAGAGGATGAAGCAGAGTTTAGGCCTTATCAACTGACCACTGGTAATATAAATACCCACACTCTTCAACATCATCTATGGGAGAGAGAGCATATATGAGCATGCCTCAAGTGCTGAGATGTTGGTGCTGGATGACAAATTTTGACTGATTTACTGATTTAAGAATGGCATCATAAAACAACGGACATTCCAATAGATGCTCCGTCTCCCGCAACAAATGTCATAAGGTGTAGATGTGAACTGTTCCCGTAGAACACTGATTACACACTCGTCGTTCTCTTCCTCTCATCCGTCCCTCCTTGCCCGATCCACACTTAATTCCTCGTTCCCACATTCTTGCACATGTTATTTTATCTAATCTTGTGTCTTCTGTCAACCGTCGTTGATATATGGTCTCCAGAATATCCCCCTTGTCCAGTATAAGTGTTCCCATAGCTTTCACTTTTGTAGGCAGAAAATCCGCTCTCTTATTCCCTCGCACTCCTGCATATCCTGGACAGTATATCCAAGTGATTCCCTGCAATGTTGGCGTGCTGGTGCTCATTATCCACCCATGCCACATTTGTCCATTTTTAACCTTCCGCAGTACTGACTGGAAATCAGACGCACAAATTCCTCTGACAATTCTATTTTTTGCTATCCAAATCAAAGCTGCAGTGATTGCCTCCATCTTCATTCTCAGGTGTGAAATTGTAGATAAAAAAGCTCCATTTTGTTCTGCCACGATCCTTCTCTTCATTCTAGCTGAAAATCCCTGATGAACAGAACCGTCGATTTACACTACAGCATCATCTAGCCCAGACTTTTCATCTATCAGTTGTTGTACCTCTAATTCTGCCATATCGTTATACCACTCAGATTGTGACAGGGTCATAAAATGAAAACAATAGGTTTATCATGCAACAGTTAAGAACACTGACATAACACTGACTCTGCTACACCTTCTGTGTAGTTTAATCATAGAAAATATTGATCTGGCATCGTATACCTAAGGTGTTTTAATTCTTTTGGTCCCAAGAAACTCATATGTGTTACTAGTGCACCTCTTGAATTTCAGTCATCAAGGTGTATGTTCTCTAACATTTCACTTTTTGATCACACTAAAAACATCCAGTTTTCTCTCTAGCCACTGTTGTTGTGTACATAAACTCTTAGAAATCAATGCACCCTTGATTTTATCAGCGGCTGCCACTGAGGACATCTGCTTGCTAGAGGTAATAACATGTTTTAATGTTTACTAAAGGTAAAGGCAGACTTGTTGGTATAAATTAGTGAAAGTTTATTTGGAGATGTGGTTTTATAGGCAAATGATGAGAATATCATGGAGTGATAAAAAGAGAATTGAAGATGTCTTGAAAGAAACTGACCCACGAAGAGAACTGACAGCCCACATCAGAAAGCGACAATGCACATACTTTGGTCATGTGATGAGAAGGAGAAAACTGGAGTACCTCTTGATGGTAAGAAAGTTGGAGGGGAGGGGAGGCAGAGAGAGACTAAGAGAAAAGATGCTGGACAGTTTGACATCATGGCATGAAGGATCATCTGTATCACAGATGACTGAATGTAAACGAGACAGAAGGTTGTGGATAGACATGACTACCAACACCACACGGCATGGACTTTAAGAAGAAGAAGAAGGCACACTTACATGGTAACCAACAGCAAGCAGTGTAAAGGCAGCACTTGGAATCAACAATGTCTTCAGTAAATTCCACAGTGTCTGAAACAAACAGCAGTAAAACTCAAGACAGCCAACAGCTTAAACAAGACAAAAACAAATCATCATAATACTGACACTGGAACCTAGATATACTTCTCCTTCTGTGCTCACCCTTAACTGTTTCAGCGCCTTTTAACGTGTGAGGCTTGATAGACTTTTCCATATGGATCCCAGCCATCGCATAATGTGTTTACCCCCACCCCTCCCCCATTTTACTATGGTAACAGCATATTAAAATAATCTAGCTTCCCTACTGGCTTATTTAGCTACGTAATGTGACTGTTTGAATGTCACACAATCGATCTTTTAAGACACGCATGCAAAGGAGCAAGGAGTATGTCCCCTCCTTCCCACCCCCACCCCCAATACAGCCCCAGAGTCCTACATGGAAAACATAAACTGTAAGGAAAATTAGCAAAATAGACCAGCCTGGTGTAACCTGCAGTCCTGTCTAAGGAGGATGAGGTTGCAAAATTTGCAACATATACAAAGCAGGTTGAACAATAATAAGATAAGCAAAATATAAGAGTTACACACCAATGAATTTTTCAGAAGTTATAAAGCAAATTGTACTGATATTAAAATTAAAAAAAAAAAAAAAAACTATGAGACAAATATTAAAATAATACCATGGGGAAGAAATCATAGACCCTGATTATTTCGGTGAAGAGTATGGTCTGGGACTGCTAACATTATCTTATACCCAGACAGCAAAGTTGGAACATATACAAAATGAAGCCATGCAAGTTATTTTGGGGTAAACACAAGACATACCAAGTGTATTCATGTGGCACATACTTGCATTACCATCCAGATATGAGAGACTCCTGATTTTACAGGCAAAAATGTACAATAAAGTCACAACAGACAGGGAACACCTTCTGTATGTAGCAAGGGAGAACGGCTGAAAAGAGGTAGCTCCTGGATGGCACAGGCAGAAGCCACGACCAAAACCGTCTGTGCTACTGACAAGATAGCACATGGTAAAGAATGGGTTACAGTGCCACCCAGCAAATTAGACTTGCATAGAATGATAGCCGCCTTGGACCGAGGGTGCCGGGAATGATAACTGGTGAAACAGAGTCAGCAGTGCAAGATCTAATCAATGGAAATTCATGCTTATGTGATACGATAATACTTACAGATGGGCCTGTGGTGAGAGGTCAGAAGAGTGGGTGAGGTTTTATTTCAAAAGTGAATGGACACAGCTTGAAAACAGAGAGTCTCACGTGCAACATCACTACATACAATATGAGAATGGAAGTGGAGAAAGTAATGGCAGCTTTCCACCTGCTTGAGAACAGCACAGCCCGACATATTGTGATTGTAACACATTCAAAGAAAACTGAAACTGGTGTCCTGTGCACAGAATAGCTTGTATCACTTGATAAAGAGGTGTGCGAGGTAACTAGCAGGCAGAAAGATGAGATGATGTGGCTTCCTCTGGGCGGTGAGTAACTATATGATAAAGCAGATGTGGTGAAGGCTCTTTGGGATCAAATGGACGGTGCAAAGGAACATATAGGGAATACATATACTGAAAGACTAATTAAACAGAGTGTGTGTAGAGGATCTTTAAGATATTCAACATGAGAAGGGGAAACAGAGGCAGACTTTTAATCCGGTTGAAACTGGTACTATTAGCATGTCAACTCTGGGTTTGCTACTGAAGAAGGGGACGGAGCATGTGTAGGAATGTCCCGAGTGCAGTGATGTTAATTCAGTATTCATTAATTCATTCATTCACAAAGCAGGCACTGAAATGGGAAATAAAAGGTTTCAGGAAGCGAGAACGCCCAAACTAAAACCTAAAATAAACACTGATGACAGAGGCCAAAGAAAGTGGACTGAATTTCATCAATTATGTCAAAAGGATGGCACAGGAATAGACTGCAAGCTCTATTTGACATTTTACATACAATGGGACAACAGGACAATGATGATGATGATGATAAAGGTTAAGAAATGATGGGGGGGGGGGGGGGGGGGATTTATGAATGTGGTGAAGGTGAAGGTCAGGAAATTGTGCTGGTGACTGATGAATATAAGGACCTATTTTCATGCCTTTATTGCATTAGACATATAGTCGACCAATATTTTCTACAGAGCAATTAGATCAACATCCCACTGATTTCCTTTACTTCCCAGGACATTACCTAGTACTCATTTTACTCTATGTTGTCCCGGGAACCAAGGTCAATGCTGACAAAATAAGCTCTGATGTGGTTTTAAAGGTGGGAATCTAGCCACTATGTGCTGATGGTAACAGATGCAGAATTACTAAAAAAAATTACCTCTTCTTCAATGAAATCAAATTCTTTAGCACAAGTGTACAACATGGTGTGGAAGTTTTTGAAATCTGTGAATTTGCTCAAGAAGATTTCTCCAATATGGGCCTAGGTATGAAAACAAAAAGGGCAACACTTAACACTTTGGCTTAGAGGTTTGAGAACACATACAAAAATGCTATAATCCTCGAGAACCAGGGTTTGATTTCTGAGCTCAATGTTTTTTTGTTTTTGTTTTAACCATTCTCTTGGTTTTAAGATACTTGTACAACATTGGTCTTAGTCTTAGTCTTAGTTGAGGTTTCAACTTTCCTGCAATCAGGTTTCACCGTACTTGCCCCATTCCTGTGTCAGTGAAAATCAAATGAAATGTCTCTCACTGTCGCATTTGAAAAACTTGTGAACAAACAATTGCTCCTGGCACAATCCAGAAATATGTGCGCATAGTAAATGCACACAGCAGTTGCTAGAGGCGCCAAAGCCAATAGTCACCACCATAAATACAGTTTGTCACCGATGGAAGTAGTCGGGTATGATAAGTTGGCTATACACATGTAGGATACAAGGATTACACAAGGTAATTCACCAGCTCACACGTAAACCAAGCTCTAAACTCAGTAGCTTAGGAAACACAACAGTCGCACCATGGCAAAGACTAGGACCTCATCACATAATATTCCAAAAGACAACAGTGAGTACTGTAGCCAACCTTCACTGGAGGTTGCAAACTTTTTTTTTCTTTAAATAAACCTGTGTTATTTTCAGTACTGGACAGTCTGTCATGCTGGCTCTGAATTTCAGAATCACAAAATGTCTGTTTTACTTTCCATTCAATAATCATTAGTTATATTCAGTCAAAAATGCTGCAATATCTACCTTGCAAACAAAAAGTCTTCATCTATGACAAATTAGTTTAAATCTGAATCTACATTGTAAATTACTTCAAATATAAATCTACAGTAAATTAGTCTAAATCTAAATCTGTGGTAAATCTAACAGTCTACTGCAAATTTAAGATTTCACTTACATCATCTTCTAAGTGTAACAGCTTTCCAACTGCAAATTTCGAAATCAGGGTAAGGGTGACAAAGACAAAGCCTTGGATTAACTGAAAATGAAATAAAAATCAAACATAAATACCAGAATGTTATACAAACTATGCATAAAATATACATCTATGAAGCAAACCAAATTTTCTGCCACTTTTTTCATCCTTCTGATGATGGTGTTTTACCGTGCTTTATGGAGGTTTAAGTTTAGGTTGAGACAACAGATCAACATCACCGCACAAGGATAGTAACCCATAAGAGCTACATTCTACTTCTGAATCAAGCATGAGTCTGAAGAATCACGAACTCTGTAGCACCAGCGAGGATCCTGAAATACTTTAGATAGATGTGTAACTCCAAATTTTGCCCGGCAGCACCCTAAGGCTACTCTGTTTCAATTTCAAACTACCAAGGGATTTATTACGTGCGCAACAATACACAAGGGTGTTCGATCTTACGACCCAGAGACCAGGGGAAATTACTAGAAGTCCACGTGAAAAAATCCCAGCCTTCACCAGGGCTTTTACCCGGGACCTCCAGCACTCAAGGCAGACGCCATGCGTCAAGACCAAGCAGCCCTCTTTATGGAGGTACGAGAATAACAGCCTATGGCGACTAGGATAGTGTGACTAGCAAGAGAAGACAAATTAAGACCTGGGGATGAAGTTCCTTCTATCCAAAGCACAAAGCCAGGGCAACACTGCAAAGACCATTTACTACCATGAAGCATGATCCCTGACTCGGTCTGCGTTGTTTATTCCAAAGGAAATGTAACATCAATGTGTTTGAAACAAAGCATCGTGCAAAAGCTGCCAGGTCAGAAGAGCTGTGCTCTGCATGTTCTCCTGTCGGAGCTTCACTCCTAGACCAGCTGTCAGCCAAGGCTAAGGGCCATGTCTGCCAGCCAAGGCTAAAGGCCGTGTCAGCCCTGCCATAACATTAAGTTTTCAGGTTGGATTTCCTCTTCCTTGGATAAGAAAGAAAGTCAAGTCAAGTACTTTTCCACACACCTTTAGGTAAAATGCTAGCTACACATTTATTTAGACAAACTGGCACTCCATGGATAATATAGCCTTTGCTTCCCAAGAAACACTGGCAACCAAAGTCTAATTTCAGCTAGTCTGTATGCGTTATGTTGTGTGACAATCTGATTATATCCAAATATGCCCTCTGCAGATGTGAGGTGCTAGTAACAGCCTTGTCCACCCAGTTGGTTTATGATATTGGATAAGGGAAGGGGTGCTCTGTAACATAGCACCCTTGGAGATGGTACCCAGAGGGAAATTATTTACACCAGTGGATGGATCTCAAACAGCTAAGACCTGTGAACCTCTTTTATTTTTAACTCCATACTTTTTTAATAGCCATATGTTTTTTTAAGGAAATTTATATTAGAATTGGGGGGAGGGGGGAAGAGGACTGCATTCTCAAGACAAGTTATTTTTTTTAAAATTATGTTATTTAAACAAAATTTAAAAAATATGTCTTCATGCGTATTGGGCACATAGAGGTCAATTTTATGGACCAATAAGCATTGGGTAGGATGTGTGGTAAACATCAGGCTGTCCGCCTTTACTTCCCAGGAATATATCTGGTACCAACTCAAGGCTGGGTCGACCTGGGATGGGGGACTTAAATTTGTTCTTTAGATTTGCGGGGCCCCCAGGCTATAAAATGGGAAAAACTTCTTGACACTGACCTCATTCTGATACATGCAAGCCTTTATCAAGGCTCAGATGACCTGACTGCTAAAGTTCCAGATGAGACTTTCAGAAGATCTAACTCAACTAACCAATTTGTTCTGGGACAAGAGGTTACAAAATGGGTAACACTTCTTGACCCTTACCTCATTCTGATAAACACAAGCCTTTATCAAAGCTCAGATAACTCAGCCAACCAACCAATGGCATACCCCACTACAGTAACTGTCTTTACTACCTGTGCCCACCATTTTTAAGGCAGTGTTGGAAAGGGTGGGCATGAGCCTGAAGATATAAGACTACAGCATGGCTAGTGCAGTCATCATTAACTGTGCAGGTTAGGATTTTTGTGCATGCTCCTGAGAGAAAACAAAATCTCCATCCTTTAGCAAGGATCAAAACCGAGTTTCACACACAGAGCCCTGGCATGCTAACCGCTTGGCCAACAGCTCAATAACAACATGAATAAAGGAATGCTTGTTCTTTTTTACAAGTTTCTAATGACTATCAACAATCCCGTATCCAAATATCTAACAGTACAGAATATTTACAAGATATCTCTTTTAAAGAAGACCCTTTTTATGCTAGTGGTGCATCCAGAATATAAGTTGGCAGTGATGTCAATTGTGATAACATATAAAATATCATCACTCCCTTTTGTTATGTTTTTACAGAAATAATGCACAATAACAAACATATCAGAAATGACACGTGTACTCACTATTTTACAAAAGTTACTTTTCACATTCCTGAAAAAGCGGTCTAAAAGCACAACAGTCTGTGGAAGAAACAAGTTCAGTGGAAAAACTCAGTGACTTTACGCACATTATACAAACTGAGATACAGCAGAATATGCCAGGCAATAAATTGTGCTATCTATTATTTGTGCTTTCTATGCTCAAATTTACAGTGGGGAAACAATTCTTTGTAGAAATCACTGTCTACTTTCAGAAGTCTTCTTTGCTCTCTTATTTTTTCCAAGAACTTTTTCATATTTCAGTTTGTTTCAATTCTGTAGGTCAGTCAGTCAGTCAGCAGCATGTCATTTGCAGATCCTTGCTCCCATAACAACCCTCCGGAAAGCTTCTCGATCACAAGCAAGATGTCCCGCATCCAAAACACCAATCTGGAGATCATCCACCACATCCTGCACCCATCTTCTCTTTGGACTTCCTCTTCCTCTCTTCCCAGGCATATACCCCTCCACTACTGTTTTCTCTAAACTTTTGTGACCTTTCAAGTGACCAAACTATTTCAATTTATTTGTGTTTTATCCTTAATAGCCAACCATTTTCATACACTAGGTTGATTTATTTTTAAAATATTGGTAATTCCTATTTTTCTCTAAATTGCCTCTTTATTAAAGCAATTCTATTTCAAATCTCTCTCATAACAAGCGTCTGCTATAGCTGGATCCAATTTAGAGTTTATTATTTTTGTAATATAAAAACAGTAACAGCAGCTATTCAACCCATTTCTACAATATGCATGATAAAATAGTTTATATGATTCAACTTGACTTACCCAAGCAGCAATGAGACTGCAAGCAAAAAATGAAGTCAGCAACATCTCATTGCCAAACAGCAACACATAGCTGCCAATGAGGCCCACCTAAAGATAAATACAAACCACACAAAAAGTCATTTTATAAGTATAGTTGCAGAGCTATGAGAACTTACATTGTGGCATTATCATCATCTGCACTGTTTACACATCATACAAGGCTCTGTCTATTCTTCTATTCTATTTTTTCTGTGCAATCCTCTCAATACCAAAGAGGAAATCAAGTACATCACCTGTGACCTATTTCATCAGTTTTCATCTTAGAGTCTGTGACCTCTTTTATCAATGATCATCTTAGAGTCTGTGACCTTTTTCATCATTGTTCATCTTAGAGTCTGGTGACCTCTCTCATCAATGATCATCTTAGAGTCTGTGACCTCTATAACCAATGTTCATCTTAGAGTCTGTGACCTCTATAACCAATGTTCATCTAAGAGTCTGTGACCTCTATAACCAATGTTCATTTTAGAGTCTGTGACCTCTATAACCAATGTTCATCTTAGAGTATGTGACCTCTATAACCAATGTTCATCTTAGAGTCTGTGACCTCTATAACCAATGTTCATCTTAGAGTCTGTGACCTCTATAACCAATGTTCATCTTAGAGTCTGTGACCTCTTTCATCAATGATCATCTTAGAGTCTGTGACCTCTTTAACCAGTGTTCATCTTGAGATTCTGTGACCTCTTTCATCAATGATCATCTTAGAGTCTGTGACCTCTTCCATTAATGTTCATCTTAGAGTCTGTGACCTCTTTCATTAATGTTTATCTTAGAGTCTGTGACCTCTTTCATCAATGTTCATCTTAGAGTTTCTTTTAGACGTTCTTATTTCCTCAGTTAATTTATTTCCAATTTCAGTGCCTGTTTAGTGATTCTCTTGTGGTAACCACAAATTTAAAAAAAAAAAGATTCTGAAATATTAAGTTTTCTTTGGAACAATTTTGTACTTCTATCAAATGTCCTTCCTTTGTGTCAAATGTGCCATCACAACAGATGAACACTGATATGATTTAAGTTTCTACTGAACCCACATGATTAAAGCTTCTGCTGATCCCTCATGATTAAAGCCTCTGCTGATCCCTCATGATTAAAGCTTCTGCAGATACCACATGATTAAAGCTGCTGCAGATACCACATGATTAAAGCTGCTGCAGATACCACACGATTTAAGCTTTTGCTGAACCCACATGATTAAAGCTTCTGCTGATCCAATCTTTAACCTGTGGCAACACAGTAGGCACATTCCTTAATGTTAACAGTTTAGGATTTCTTTTATCAGTTATGACAGCAAGCAATCATGGCCAGAAACCTGGTCAACAATCAAAGTATGTGATCCTTCACTGCTGAGAAAGATGATAATAACCATCTATATGAGTTATAAGCAGTCTTGTTCTTCATTGCATTCACAGGCTGTCAACCCCAGCAGAAAGTTCCTGATGTTCATCCACTTCTGGACTTTGGTCTTGTTCCAGGACCTGAGTGTTGTGTGCATATCCGCTTTACAGATCTGGCTTATTTGTTTGCAGAATGTTGGTTTTTTCCTCTCAAACAGATGCACCAGGACTTCATCGTAGGCATTTTGTTGTTCTTTCTGCCAGCAGTTTTCAGATGATAAGCCACAGGTCTCGATAAAGGTTCTGGTGTGACGCCATACAGTTAAGGTTAATATCTACAAATCACTGGTTTTGTCTATATTTTTTTTTACAGTTGTGAGAGTTGGACTCTCACTGTGGAAATGTAAAATGTAAAAGAGGGTTAAGCTTTCAAATGTAAATGCTACAGAGGCATTTTATGAATTAGATATTTTGAACACAAAACTAATAAACATGTCAGAGACAAAATATACAAATTTGCAGGACATTTGGAGCCTCTCTTGGCAGTGGTGAAATGTCACAAAGCTAGCTTGGTTCAGGCACATGGTGATTGCAATGACTGGGCTTCAAGGAAAATGTGGGGGGGGGGGGGGGGGGGGGGGGGGGGGAAGGGTAGTCGAAGAAGAGGAGGGCAAAGAAGAACCTGGAATGACAACATCAAGAAATGGACATGACTGAATTATCACCCACTTATTCATCAAGCAGAAGACGAAAAAGATGGCGGGTTTTATGTGCTAATGCCTCCACCGAAACACCTCCATGACCCTAACAGGTCTAGGGTTATGTTATGTTATACAGTTTGGTTTCCAATGGAATACCAATTTACCAGACCAGTGGTATTTACTGCATAGTTTTGAATCTTTTGTACATATGACTGCAGAGTCTGTTGTGCCCAGTTTGCAATCTAAGAACAATTGGTATACAGATCTAGCTTATTTGTGTGCAGACTGTCAGTTTCTTTTTTCTTAGTCAAATTGCATTCAGACTTCAAAGGAAGCAAGCAAATTCATTCTTAGTCTCCCTCTGTAGATATTTAAATATATGTATGCTAACTGCCCTGGTATCAAATGCTATTTCAGAAAATGACAGCAAGGAAATGACCAGGTTTTGCAACATATTAATTTTGGAACTCATTCAGTCCCAGAAGATTATTCAGCAGTTACTGACCAGGGAACAATTATTATTAACTTTCTTAATGACATCCCTTTAAAAAGGACAAGCAATGCTGAAGCCAACTAATGCAGAATCTAAATTTCTTTAATATCCTTTTACCAAATCTACAAAGTGTGGTAACACACTGCGTGTTGGTTAGAACTCAAGGGGGAAAATCTATTCACACATTATACGTTACTTGGGACTGAAAAAAACTTAACTAGTTACATATAAAGTTCTCTTAATCTGCATTTCTAAAGTAATACCTGTACTACCTAATGTGCTACCTGAACAGTTAAGATATGTTAATATGAAGATGACCACACAAAAACTTACTGTTTGTCCCATCAGGACGACTCTGAAAGTTGAAGATGAGATGAACTGAAGCAGATAGGTCCCCAACACAGCAAGTGTTTGTGTGAACAAAGCAAACTGAGCAAACTGGAAAATTGAAGGTTACAAGTTAAAGTGGAGAGGACTGACTTCATTTCACTGGGATTCATCTCACATGGCTCGTTCTGTTTAAGCAGAATGGTTAGCTGCCTGCAAACAGTGTCACACATAGCACAAACTCCGTAGCTGTGGTGATGATCATAAGGGATCTCTGTAAAAGTTGCACTTGTGAACTAAACCATATCACTGTAAAATGAACCCATGCCCTCTGCAGTGCGAGGCAAATGGCTTGACTATTTTGCCACAAAGACCCTGTGAAAACCTAGGCTATTTATGAAAAACTGAAATAAGACAACAAGTAACAGGCTAGGCTAAAAGCACACACAAAAATATGAAGTTATTTTCAAAAAAGAGCATCATCATCATGTGCCAGGCTGTTAAGTGTAAGCTGCCGTGTTTCGTCATATTATGTGTTCACCAGAATCACGGATCAGATCAGTGTTTTTATCTTCCCCCCCCCCCCCCCCCCCTTTCCAATCAATATGGCAAAGTCATCCGGGTTTTCATCTATTTTTAACCTGTGAAATAATGACTATTCTTGGAATCTTGAAGAAGGCAGTTTGCCACTGCTTTCCTTCCTGGCGGTGACCATATTGGTTGAGTGACTAGCCCTAGATATTCTTCCTTAATTTCTGAATCTTTTCTCCTCTGAGCTAGTTTCAGTTGTAAGTACATCCATTCTACAAATCTGGCTCACCTTATACTGACTGTTGGCTTCTCTCCTCTAAGGCAGATGCACTTAGAGTTCAAAGGAAACATCCGTAATAAATGGATGCCTTAGACATGTTAGACAGGGGTGTGGTGGGTTTATCCACTAATCCTTTTTAAAAGGGGCCCCAGAACCCAGACAGGGGTAATCATCATCAAGCATCGACACTCCTGTATACTGCAGTAATTATAGTTTTACAATGTAGTAAAAAGGGACATTAAACAACCTTTTCTCAACTCATCTTTGTCCTCTTGCACTTTGTGCTGTTGAGGTGAAGTATAAACAGTGAGAAAGTGCCTATTTGTCTGCTCCAAATATGTGGATCCCTCCTGCCCCCTTTCCACCTTCTTAGCTTCGTTGGTCAACCCTACCTTCGACTTCTACTTTGTCTATACAATCAGTGCTAGTTGTGGTATACTGTAGTGCTGCTATACCCCCTAATTTTGTTGGATTTAACCATTTCTAATTAAATGAATGATGTGGTTGTAAAATTAAAAAGCTTCTGAAAAACAAGTTTTATAAACAAAATTTAAGAATAGCATAGCTAGAGATAAAAAATAAAAAAAAATAAGAATTACAAAAATTAGAGTTGAAGAAAATATTACTGAATGTTATTACAGTGCTTCAGCCACATAAAGAGACACAGCTCCTAACTAAAAAGGATGTTCTAGAGTGGAAAATAACAGGAAAGTGTGCTAGAAAAAGACAACATTACATCTGAGTAGATAGCATTAGGAGACAGACTGAAAGTTTGGATGATGATGATGACACAATTCTGGTGCCACCTACCTGCCAGGAAAGCATAAACAAAATCTGGGCACAAGCAAGTAAACAAGAATATATGTAGCTGCTTTGTCTGCTCCTGTGAAAATACAATTTAAAAAAACAACAAATTAACTGTTTCAGCCCTTAGCAATTTGTGACTGCTTCTGTAAATCTGGCTTAACATATTATGTGTCCTCATAGTTTTTAAATCTGGCCAGAGCATAATTAGAAATCTGGATTCTCCAGTAATTAAATTCTTAGAAAGTAAATGCATGATTTTTCAAAGTGGTTACTTATGCTGTTGAGTATTTCTGTGAAACCTCCTGGTACTCAGAGAGTTAAACTTTAACAGGGAATTTATATTGTAGATGTTTTTTTTTAATCAATAATAAGCCACACACTGTGTTATGGATATATTACTTTCCCCATCTTTACTTAGAACAGTAACAGGAGAACTAGTTCAAAATACCAAGAACAAGATTTGTGGGGAGACATCAGCACCTATGATGATGATGATGATGATGACAGATGGGATACTGGGAGTAGACTTAGGATTATTAGGGTTGAGATTAACTCTTTCAGAACCAAGCCACTCACCGTGCACTCACTGGTTATTTTTAACATGATTTATCCTTTTTAAACTCATTTTTATCAAGGCAGCAATTTTCACTGAAACTCATTTTGTTCTATAATGTTATTTGAAGCCATTTTTACTAATCATGCTCTTACAATAAATAATAAAATTACAACTAAATGATCTGAAGTAATGCCAGCCTGGGATTTTCAAAGTAAAGAAAACCACCAGGTTTAGAAAAATCTCATCTTCAGACAGCGGAAGTCGAGGTAACACAGCTATTAGCAGACATACCTCATAGGCAAACAGGTCTTGTTATTCTCCTTTAGCTGGGATTTTAATTTTAAAACTGAGAGGATCAGTTTCATTGCACCAGAATTTAACCCATATGGCTCAGTCTCTCTCCGCAGAATGGCTATCCACCTGCTGAATGTCACACAAAGCTTGAACTCCGTAACTCCAACGATGATATCCAGGGATCTCTGTAAAAACTGCAATTGTGAACTGAATGACACAGCTGTGAAATGAACCCATGACCTTCAGAGCACGAGACAAATGGCTTGACCACTCGCCTTTAAAAGGGCAGCTGGTACATTGTGCTGTGGTTTACAGCTAGGCTGCCATAACTATGCCTTTCTGTCCAACACATTCGATTTCAGTAAAAAGTGTGCATGTTTTTAACTGACTTCTGCTCCCATGTCTACCCAGCCTAAAATTTGTGACAGAAAACGTTCTGGGAAGTTCTCGTGGTCAATGTGATGCTGACCACAGGACACGCTGCATTTCAATTGACCGATAAAAATGAAATGAAATTCCTACTGTGATTATATTTGTGTCTTTTGTGTTAAATGTTTTTCTTAAAGCTGAAAATGGGGAAGGGTATTCTGAGCTGTCTTGATGACGTCACCGTATTCACCTGCACAGTGATGTCACATGCCTAAATGTCACACACAATGTGACTAGAAAGCTCAACGAAGGGAATGAAAAAGATGCACTCAAACACAACCAAATGCTTCTATGAAAGTTATGATAAATAAAGACTTTGGCTGAAACATTCGGTTCTGTTTGAGTGCGTCTTTTCCATTTCCTTCGTTGAACTTTCTAGTAACATTCTGTGTTATATTTAGCAATTCTTGACAATGGCATATTACTGACGTCTGTGCAGGTTCAGAGGCAGGTTCAGATGGTACTGAATATATTCAGAAATAACAAATAGATTAATGACTATACCTAACCTGACAATGTAAGTCAATATGAACATCTGCAGAACAAACATTGGATAGCCAAAACTTTCCCTCAGTGGTGGAGTCCACATCACCCTAGTGCACTGTAACATCAAGATTAAATCAGATGTATTTCATTAATGAAGAAACTGGCACGATTATGTTATTATTCTTAGAATCTAACGAATATCAGAAAATATAAAAATCATAATGTGGGGGGAAAAAAACTGTATCAATGAATAGCTGGATTGTATAAAGCAGGTTTGGAAAAGTAGAGCATGTAGTCTGAGCAATTCAGTGTCTGAAATGCTTTTTAATAGCACATAGAAGAAATACTAAAGAAATTCAAGTAGCCATGCAAATGCAGCAAATTACAAGATGAAGAATATCATAGACAATCAAAAACATGAGAAATGATGCTGAAGTTGCACAGATGTGGTAACCCTATCACCTCAGAAACATTTATTTTTTTCTTTTTTAAAGTGAGGATCCTTCAAGAATGCCCAAACTAAAATTTTTTTTTTTTTAAAATTCAAGCAGGTGGTAATATTTTTTAAATTTTTATCTACATTTCAAAGTATTAAGGAAAAAACACTTGACACAGGTCCAAATATCTTTTAAAAATATTTATCTACATTTCTAAGTTATATTATAAAAGTAAAAACCCAATATTGTCTGGTAATATATCTTGGTTGGAGTTAGTCAACTTCAACTTCTCTCTAAGCTTAATGGAATTCAATTAAACATTCAAAATGAATTCAACGTTCTAATCATAGTGGAAAATGTGGATGAACTGGTATCAGCCATAGGGTTCATGTGGGCTCTAGAGTTCCATTGGGGAAAAGGTGGGGGGGGGGGGGGGGGGGGGGGGTGAGAGAACGGAACTAACTCACAGACTCTTAGTAAAACGTCAGTAATTAAGTAAAGAAATTAAAGTTTAAGGATCTTTTTCATACAGTTGCACAGTTGCGTATCGGGCATATGATGTAGACAAATACATTTTTATAGACCAATCGGCACTCAATGGGTGATGTGGTCAACATGAAGCCAGCCACCTTTACTTCCCAGGAATTTACTTGGTAGCCAATTTAGGCTGAGCTGACCTGGAAGCCCAGGACATTTTAGAAAAACATCCGACTTGATGCGGACTAACTAAGGGTTTGATGGAATGCAAATAAGCTGGGCAAAGTTAAACAGACTTAGCATCCTAGCTGAAAGCCACAGCACAGCATGCCAAATGCCCTTTAAATGGTGGGCTGAATGCAGAAGAAGAAGAAGGCATAATGGGACAAATAATAATCATAAGCGCTCAAACTGAACACAAACAATTCTGACACAGATTTAAAATGGAAAATAAAATTCATCAGATGCTAAACAATTCTGACACGGATTTAAAATGGAAAATAAAATTCATCAGATGCTAAACAAAGGAATAAACAACATCGATCTTTTCAAATTTTGTTTTCAATTTAAACATGATGGCAATAAAATTATGAACACTGCATACATTACAGACTGTATAACAGTTACCTCTCCGTGATTGAACAAGAAGCATATGACTGTTAGCAGACCACCAAAGAGACTGCCACTGAAGAGAACACAAACAATTGGGGATGTTTTTAGGCTGATTAAAATTTATAAGCAACAGTCACTAAATTAGTAACCAACTTTTTCTTTTTCTGCCTTCTATCCCCAAGCGGAGCATAGGCCCTCAAACAAGTCATTCTGTCCTTCATTACTACATACAGCTCATCCCATATCCTCCCCATCCTTTTTAAAGTCACTCTCTAGCTCCTTTCTCCGTGTATTTTTTTTGGGTCCTTCCAAAAGCTCATCATTAGTGGTTCTGTCATCTTCTTCTTCAGCATTCTGAGCCCTTGAGGTTCACTGCTGCAGATATCACCTGCCTCCACTCATCTTTCTGGTTGGCCTTCTTCAGCATTCCGAGCCCTTGAGGTTCATCGCTGCAGATATCACCCGCCTCCATTCATCTCTCTGATTGGCCTTTTCTTTCCAGTTGGTGACACCAAGTGTTTGCAGGTCTGTCTGGATATTATCTCTCCATCGTCTTCTTGGTCTGCCTCGTGGTCTACAACCATTCATCTCCCTGGTGTATACAGTTTTTACTTCTCTGTCATCTGATATTCTTTCAGTATGTACCAACCACTTAAGTCTATTAGCTCTCATGATGCCAGTGATCAGTATTGATTTAAACAGATTATGAATTTCGCTGTTGCTTCTCACTCTCCCTTCACCGCTGTTTGCATCTTTGATGGGTCTAAAGATTCGTTGTAAGACTGTTTGTGAAAACATGTAATAAGGTTTCATCTCTTTTAAATGTGCTCCAAGTTTCAGAGCCATATAACATGATTTAATTTTCCCTATTTTGCATAGGCACCAGTAAATTAATGTTTGTAGTTTAACAGTAAGTGTTTTAGTTGTTTTCCATGTTTTCGCTCCAATATAGCAGTACTGATTTGACATTAGAATTAAAAGTTTTAAGTTAAATATTATTTTTAATTTCTTTTGACCTCCACAAATTTCCTAGTGTTTTGAAAGCTCCTCTTGCCTTTTGTATTTGTATTTTAATATCTCTACTAGTTTCCTCATGTGTATCTTTAGTACTGCCCAAATAGGTGTGTGACTCCACGTATTGGAGTGGGACATCATTAAGAGCAACGACATTACTATTTGCCTGGTTTATTCTCATCTTATTTGTCTTTGCCTTACAGATAAAGAAAATAAAAAAGAATGAAGATAAATCTTGTAACATGTCTTGTGTCCACGACATGGAGGTGACAGCCATCAAATCTAGCCACTCCAGCGACAGAGTTCGCAAGTCTCTTGAAAACTGCTTTATTTACACCTTGGGAACTCTGGTGTCCAGTAGACTTAACTGCCAACACAGCTTCACCTCAACCCTAAGGGTCTGCACTGCCTACACAGTTTCATCTTATCCTCGAGTGAAAGCCCCCTCCCATATTCCGGGATATATATTTTCAAAGCCCATCGTGCCTCGTCAGACTATTGTCTTAACAATGACCTGGCTGCCATGAGATACGAAGGTAAGTGTTACTGTGTATTTGTGTAGTACTGTCTATTATATGATTGTGCTGAAGAAGGCTTCTTAGCCACAACGTTTACGTTTTGTTTGTGTTTGTTATTTAGTGAAGCTCGCTGATATACTTTTCGTTCGGTTTTATATCTTTCCTTAATTATTTAAAATACTGTGAATATGGGTGCAAGAATATATGTGTGTGAATGAAAAAAGGGTTAGTACCTTTCCACCTTTCCAGATAATGGTGTTATACAAGATGTTACAGATAATGGTGTTATACAAGATGTTACAGATAATGGTGTTATCCAAGATGTTACAGATAATGGTGTTATACTGTGCTACAGAGAGGCATTTCAATCACAACCCATGGTGATAAGTGTGACTAGCAAGACATGCTTGTATGCAGAAAAGTCTAACTGAATATATGTATGCCCTTATATTCACTGCTACAAAAAAATAACTTGGAGATAACACCTATTCAAGTGAATGTTTACATTTAATCACTAAAGTAATTCAGGAGCCGCCCTGGTGTAGCGACTAGCCACTCGCCTGCAGATCGGAAGGTTGTGGGTTCAAGTCCAATCCAGTCTTAAATGGGTAGCAGGTAAATTCCTGGTAAATAAAGGCTGTCGGTGTGATGCTGACAATGTCTCCCATCGAGAACTGACTCTCTCTCTCTCTCTCTCTCTTGTCTTGTCCACAATTGCCTCACAGCGTAGTGGGGAGTCGCAGTTTTCTATCCTGGGCCAGGTGTGTTGCACGTGTTGTTGTTAGTCCGTGTTGCCTCAGGATCTCTGATATATATATATACAACTGACTGGTCTATAAAAAACATTATGTTAGCTACATATGCCAGATGCACCACTGGCGTGTAAAAGGAACTTTACTTTCTAAAATATTTCACATAATTAAAAAACAAACAAACAAATAAACAAGCAAAGGAGCGCACACGAACACAAAAGATTCTACCTTAAGTAAGTCCCAAAAAGGAAAAACAGACCCATCATCAAGCCATTCAGTAAAAACACAGCTTCCACATAAAAATAGGCTGGCTCTCCTAGTCCTGAAAGCAGATAAACAAACATACAAAACAAATCACTACAAGACTAAAGCAACTTCTTGTGTCTTGTGCACATGACTAGCGAAGATATATTTAATGTGAACGTGTTTCTAGACATGACAAATACAGACTTACAGATATATTGTCAGTTGTGCTAAGTTCTGCTGTTTGTTAGTCCAGTAGCCGTGGGTTCAAATACATCTCTCCCCATGTGAGTTCCAGTGCCCCATTTTGGGGAGGAATAAAAAATACCCACTTCTCACCTAACAAGCATGTTGTAGAAAGCGACTAATCTTGAGCTTTTCCTCAAAGTCGGCGTGCATCTGCCTGAGAGGCAAGGAACCAACAGTCTGCATACAAAAAAACTAGATTTGTAATATGGATGCACATGCAAAACTAAGGTCTTGGAACAAAGCCAAAGTACAGAAATGGATGAAACCCAAGACTTTCAACAGGAGTTTACTGCCAGTGAACGCAAACAAACAAATCTCCCTCAAGGTGAGTTATCTGCAATTTCCTAGTTCCATCTTCATAAAACAGATACTGCAAAATGTTCAGAGTTTTGTCAGCTGGCACGATACAGATCATATCACCTCACAATTGCAGTTTGGTCACTTAATCAAAGAGCTGCTAGCAGACAGACTGAGAGCAACACTGTGCACCAATTTCATTGAAAAGCAGACTCTCAAATACTTGTCCGAATGCAGCCACAACTACCAACACAGGCGCTACACCTAAGGTGATCTAGCGTGAATGCAAGAGGTTGCCCACGGAGATGACACTAAAACATTATACACTGACATAGCATGGCACTAGCCAGTACAACCCATCGAGCAATGGATCACAATATATTCCTTCCTCACGACCTTACCAACAAAAGTGGAAACTGATTATGATGACTACAATGAATGAATAAATCAATACTTTTTTTTCACTCTTGACACCTTTCTGTCTTTTAAGATGATAGTATTATACTGTGCTACTGAGAGTCTGAGACTCAACATATAAACTGAAAATGTTATGGTTCTATAACAAAGAAATGATGAAGTTATGATAATTTTTTTTATACAATCACTTTGTAGGTTCTGGAGCCCCATTTTGTCCCTCTAAAAAGCATGTCGTACAAGGTGATGAATTATGGGTGTTTCCTTCAAAGTCGGGGAAGTCTACCTGAGAGACGAGGAACCAAAGTCTATATACAAAAAAGCCAGATCTGTAAAATGGATGTGTATATGAAACTCAAGTTTGGGAACAAGACCAAAGTCCAGAAGTGGATGAACAACCAGAACATTTCATCAGAGTTCACAGTCTGTTAATATGAAGAAGAAGGAATGTACACAGAATGGGTTAAAAACACATAACAAAAGTATCTCTTAGCTGTCTTTTCAAGTGTTTTAATGATAAATGTGTCGTGATTCACAAATCCTTACCCTCGCAGCTCTGAACAGGACTCAGACCTTGTCCTCTGTTAACAGTCCAACAAGTCTTGGTCTGGTGGCCTAATAAGTCGCTTACTCCTTGGTATATGCGATATGCATAGCCTACAACTACCTAGTATGAGAGTTATGAAAAATACATTTAACACAAACTGAGCTACACTGACAATTGATGGTAGTTATCTATCTCCCAATATTGTCAACTTGGCTGTGGAAAAAAGTTATAAGGGACACTGAAAAGAATGTTACAAGTTTTTTTTCATTAGAGAAATCACTACTTCCATCTTCTTCGTGGGGGTTCCGGGGCCCAACTGTGGGAAAAACAAGAACAGACCCACTGCCTGCCCAACAAGCATGTCATAAGAGTCAACTATCTGGGGAGCTTCCTTTGAAGTCAGAGGGCATCTGCCTGAGAGGCAAGGAACCAACAGTCTGCATTCAAGTGAATCAAATCTGTAAAACGAAGTGGACGAACAACCAGAACTTTCCGCCAGAGTGTACAGATGGTGAACGCAAAAAAGAAGAAGAAGAAGAATACTACTTCATCTCATATCTTAGAGCAGATATATCTCTCTCCTTCTCTCTCTCTCTCTCTCTCTCTCTCTCTCTCTCTCTCTCTCTCTCTCTCTCTCTCTCTATCTATCTATCTATCTGCTCACTCTATCTCACTCTCTGACTACTCACACTATGGAAGCTCATGCCAATAGCAAAGCATAAGTTTTTCTTTACCTTCAGCATTTCAAGCCATGAGGTTCATTACTGCAGATATCACCCACCTTCTTTTATCTGTCATTTGCCTTCTCTATCCAGCTGGTGACTCCAAGTGTTTGTAGGTCTGCATGTATATAATCTCTCCACTTCTTCTTGGTCTGCCTCTTTGTTTACGGCCATGCAACTCCCTTGTGTACACAGGTTTTACCTCTCTGTTATCTGCCATTCTCTTTATATGCCCCAGGCATTTGAGTCAATTAGCCCTCATGATGCCAGCGATCAATGGTGATTTATACAAACTGTGAATTTCACTGTTGCTTCTCACACTCCATTCCCCACTGTTTGCATCTTTGATGGGTCCAAGGATTTGTCATAATACTCAACTTTCTAAAATGTGTAATAAGAAATGATCCAGGTTTCATAGGCGCACAAGACAACTGGTTTAGCATTTTATATTTTGTATTCTTGGTGTTACGAGATCAAGCCTTGGATTTCAGTAGATGTTGTAGGACATAGTATACTTAATTTTCAGATTTTATTCTAGATTGTATTTCTTCTCATATTATACTGGCGCATTTGAAGTTTAATTTCCAGACTGTATTTCTGCTCTTAGTATATTGGACCAGTCTTAGCCAGATTGTATTTCTTCTCTCAGTATATTGGAACAGTTAAGGTCTTTACCCAAGTAGTAGTATGTTTCCATTTGTTTGATTTTTCACATTATCTAACTTTATGTTGCCGGAGCTTTTAAAATATAATATTTAAGCCAACTCCCACTTTTAGGTTAAAATTAAGAAATGAATATTTTAAACACATTCCGGGCACAAGATGACTCCCAGTTTTAAACTTACAAAATTTGGGAAAACATATTGTCACATAAATGGGAAAATATGGTACTTATCAACACTTCAAGGCATAACTAAAAAGTAAAGATCCCTTTTCACACCTTAGGCACATCGGGCATATGGGAAGAGCATCCCATATTTTTACAGACCAATCGGTACTAGGTGGGTAATGTGGTCAGCATTACGCCAGCTTCAATGCATACTGGGTATATTATATGACCCTAAAGGCATCTAGTGCCTTTAACTAACTGTCAAACATTTGGGAGTCAAAGACATTCAGCAAACACACAAAACTCAAGATCTTCAACTCTTGTGTGATTTCAGTGCTAACTTATGGAAGCGAGAGTTGGAAAGCAACGGTAGCTCTAGATAATAAAAGAAAAATAGACAATTTTGAGAACAGACGTCTTAGATGGTATACTGAAGCTCCACTGGAAGATTTAAGATCCAATGCGCAAATAAGATAAGAGACAAAGTAAGATAATGTATCCAATTTGATAAGATAGCACCGCTGGAACTATATCGGCCGTGCACTCAGAATGGATAAGACCAGACTTATCCCATCAAGCCCTCATATGGACAACGGAAAGGGGAAAAAAATGGGGAAAACCAAGAGCCCCTGTGTAGAACCATCATCAGAGAAAGCTCAACCATGGGCTTAACTCTTTCAGGCCCATGAATTTTGACAGACTTGGCCCACATTAATTTCCCTTTACAAAAATGGCAGAGGGGTGGGTGTACAAGAAAGGCTGTAGAGACTGTAATATACTTCTAATCCCTATAACAGTTTATATTTTTTAAACGAGAAATGAGTGTACATTCTGAATCTGATGATAAGTGTTTGTTTAATTTTGTTATAGTTAGTGGAAAAGCAGAATTCAGCAGGTGTTAATTTCACAAGGACAACATTTCACACAAAAATTCTTCACTTACCATGGTTTTGCAGCCACAAGAATAGTAAATATCCAAATTTGAGAACAAAACTTCAAAGTTTGTTCAATGTCCTAACATATTCTAAAGTTATGATAACTTTCTGGGTTAGTTTATCACTCAGGGGCTCTTAGTTCTCACCGAGTGATAAGCAAAATTTCAGAGAAAAAATGGCAGAAAAATGAGCCATAACACACACACTATTTACTATTCACTTTGTACAGTTATTTACAGACTGTAGCTGCGATGATTTCAATGTAGCTTAGCCATAGTATAGTACTATCTCTTTGTTTAGAGCACTTTCCTTCTCTTACACCATAAATACGGTAGTATGGGACATTGTCTGTGTAATAAACTCGTCAGAATCGCTAGATTCCGAACAGCTGATCGCTCAGCTTCACTGGTGAAAATTCACTGTCTGAATCACTTTCCGAAAAATCTAAATTGTTATTATCATTTTCACAATTAAAAACATCTGACTGAAACAATTTCAGAGCTTCGGCCGCAGAAAGACGCATTCTGCGACCTGTTCTTGTGGTTAGAACATTGGTATTCAGTGCACTCAAAAACGAACTTAGAAAATAAACTGTTAAAAAAAAAATTTATGTTTTTTTCTCTCAAATTATCCACGTGTGTTTTAGTCCAAGAAGTGAAACTAAAAGGATTTCGGCAGAGTGACTTTCCCTGAATAGGTTATTCGTACCTCCAAACATTAGAAACTAGTACGAACGCGCATGCAAAGAAAAATGTAAGAGATACACGATTAACGATGACACTGTTGTTTGGGCAGAACGGAATTTCTCAAACTACGCTCACACCGTTGTTTGGGCCTTAAAGAGTTAATAATCATCCAAGACCTACAACAGATGGCAACAAACCACAAGACACGGAGAGCTATGACCTCTGCCCTATGCACCACCCTAGGCTCAAGAGGAAAAACTTTAACTAGAGACAAAATTAGTTGTCCTTTGCTTGTACTTTTTTTTAAACATAAAAACAAACCTCAGGGTAAAGGTTGAATCGCTTGAGAGTATTGATAGTTGAGGGGTACTCTGTAATATTGTCCCGTATGAGGCTGTGTAAACCACTAATGGCTGACTCCGACGTGATCATAGTCTTGAAATAAGAGTAGTACAACCCCTGAGAACAGATTTACGCATTCAAATGTAACATATTATGTATTCCAAAGATGATAATGCACAGTGCTAAAACACAGCATCTTCATACAGCAAGGCAAAAAATACTTGACCCTGCATCACAGGGGAATACGGGGAGTATTTTTTTTATTGTTTAGTCTGGCTTTGGGCAGGCGGCGACCCTTTCTGTGAAGAAAGACAGAGCCTTATGGGATAAAACCCAGTGCAATGAAGCTGATCCTCTTTACCTTCATTTAACTCTATTCTAAATAATTATCCTTTTAGTTCTTCTTCTTTGCGTTCACCAGCTGTAAACTCTGGTGGAAGGAAAGTTCTGGTTGTTCGTCCACTTCTGAACTGCATCCATTTGACAGATCTGACACATTTGTGTGCAGATTGTTGGTTCCTTGCCTCTCAGGCAGATGCGCTCCGACTCTGAAGGAAGCTCCTAATAAGTCGACTCTTAATTACATGCTTTTGGGTAGGCAGTGGGTCTATTCTTTTTTTTTTCTTATAATAGGGCCCCGGAACCCACATGGGGGATCCTTTTAGTTCTTGCGATAGTACCCATAATTTTTAAACACACCATCCTCTTCTTCGTGTTCACAAGCTGTAAACTCCAGGGGGAATGTTTTGCTTGTCTGACCATTTCTGGTTAGTCTTGTTCCAGAGCTCTGAGTTTTTCATGCACAGACATTTTACAGATCTGGCTTATTTGAGTTCAGACTGTTGTCTGCTGCCTCTCAGGTAGATGCACTCCGACTTCGAAGGAAATCCAACTAATTAGCTGACTCTTACAACATGCTCTATAGAGGGGCAGTGGGTCTATTCATTTTGTTTTTGTGGGCCTATAATGGGGGTCAGAACACACATAGGGACTTAAAAAACACATAATACTTGCCCCCAAAATTTTTTTATTACAAGAACAAATATGTTGATAATTTGGCAAGCTACAGCTGATTTATTAGGCAAATTTTGCCACAAATGTTTAGTTTTTCTTCTTCTTCTTCTTGTTCACCGGCTGTGAATTCCGGCGGTAAGTCACGGTTGTTCGTCCAAAATGGACTTTTGGCTTTTACCTTGACCTGAGTTTTGCGTGTACATCCGTTTTACTGGCTTATTTGTTTGCAGTACTCGTTCCCCGCCTCTCCGGCAGATGTACTCCGACTTCGGAGGAAAATGTTTAGTTTAACAGTTGAGTAGTTCAAAATCCTGAAATGCTAGTTCTAGAACATGCCTCTTTAAAATATATTTTCTCTTTACTGTAGACTCTCATATTAGTCAACAACATAAATGGTCTCAAGATTTGTTCATGTATAACCTTGTCTTTACCCGACCATCAATCTTCAGTGCATGTAAATCAAACAGCAAGTCTTTGTGTTTATCAACCTCCCTGGAAAAGTGGCCAAACTTGCAATCTGAGGGCTGTCGGTTTCATTTCAAAAACACATTATCAAATGCAGCTTTTCACAGAGGCTCTGGTGACTGTTGCTGGAGCTACACAGTTTGTGCTTTGTGTGATGCTTTGGACGGGCGGCTACCCTTTCCTTGAAAAAAGAAAGACCCTTATGGGATAAAACCCAGTACAATGAAGCTGATCCTCCTTACCTTCATTTTAACTTTATCAGTATCACAATTCAAATCAAAAATGGAGCAATTACCATTTCAGTTCGAAAGCCAAGTTCACGCTCCAGTGATGACAGATGAGAGAAGTGCCTATCATTTTCAAACATGCTTGATATATACCATCTGAAAGTCAAAGGAATCCAGTGTAATAGACCATAATACCTCATTAAACATTATATTCAATACATTATATTTAATGCTTGATATATACCATCTGAAAGTCAAAGGAATCCAGTGTAATAGACCATAATACCTCATTAAACATTATATTCAATGCTTGATATATAACATCTGAAAGTCAAAGGAATCCAGTGTAATAGACCATAATACCTCATTAAACATTATATTCAATACATTATATTCAATGCTTGATATATAACATCTGAAAGTCAAAGGAATCCAGTGTAATAGACCATAATACCTCATTAAACATTATATTCAATACATTATATTTAATGCTTGATATATAACATCTGAAAGTCAAAGGAATCCAGTGTAATAGACCATAATACCTCATTAAACATTATATTCAATACATTATATTCAATGCTTGATATATAACATCTGAAAGTCAAAGGAATCCAGTGTAATAGACCATAATACCTCATTAAACATTATATTCAATACATTATATTCAATGCTTGATATATAACATCTGAAAGTCAAAGGAATCCAGTGTAATAGACCATAATACCTCATTAAACATTATATTCAATACATTATATTCAATGCTTGATATATAACATCTGAAAGTCAAAAGAATCCAGTGTAATAGACCATAATACCTCATTAAACATTATATTCAATACATTATATTTAATGCTTGATATATAACATCTGAAAGTCAAAGGAATCCAGTGTAATAGACCATAATACCTCATTAAACATTATATTCAATACATTATATTTAATGCTTGATATATAACATCTGAAAGTCAAAGGAATCCAGTGTAATAGACCATAATACCTCATTAAACATTATATTCAATACATTATATTCAATGCTTGATATATAACATCTGAAAGTCAAAGGAATCCAGTGTAATAGACCATAATACCTCATTAAACATTATATTCAATACATTATATTCAATGCTTGATATATAACATCTGAAAGTCAAAGGAATCCAGTGTAACAGACCATAATACCTCATTAAACATTATATTCAATACATTATATTCAATGCTTGATATATAACATCTGAAAGTCAAAGGAATCCAGTGTAATAGACCATAATACCTCATTAAACATTATATTCAATACATTATATTCAATGCTTGATATATAACATCTGAAAGTCAAAGGAATCCAGTGTAATAGACCATAATACCTCATTAAACATTATATTCAATACATTATATTTAATGCTTGATATATAACATCTGAAAGTCAAAGGAATCCAGTGTAATAGACCATGAAACCTAATAAAGAATTATATTCAAACAAAACAAGTTGCTTGTACGTTTCTAGGGCCCATCAAGCAAGTGAAGAATAACAACACAACATTATAAGAGGTAACTTAGCAAGTCTGGTCACTGCAAGTGATGATGGTCTCAAAAGTATGTTTAGGTGTTTCTGAAAATAGCTCTTCCCAGCCAATGAAAGGTAGCAGAACAACACATAATTGAAAAATTGTTGTACTTGGTTGCGAAATGAAATTAGGATGAAGTGATTTCTTCTCAACGTACAAAGAATAACAGTCTCTGCTCTGATGGAGCATGCAAGAGCTACACACTGTGTGCACGTTTGGACTGAAAGAGTGACATACTAAGCACACATCAAGACTGAAAGAAAGTTACATACTATGTACACTTCAGTACTGAAAGAGAGCAAGTCACCATAATGATGGATTACATTCAGCCCCCAAATACTTCACTCCCATTTGGACACTTCAGATCCTCACCATACCACAAATTTATCATGTTGTATAACAGCAAATAACTTAACTCTTTCAGTACCATAAGGTTTCAGAGGGGATAACAACTAATGAAATAATCATGATCAAAAATCTCACAGTAAGTTCTTAGTACCTTCTGGACTTCAGTTGTCTTCCAAAATTTGAGTTTTGCATGCACATCCATTCTACAGATCTGGCTCATATGTATGCAGTCTGTTGGTTCCTTGCCTGTCAGGCAGACGCACCGCAACTTCACCAAAAAAAAAAAAAAAACTCTAATTTGTAAAGTTTTATGACATGCTTGTTAGGTAGCAGTGGGTCTATTCTTTTTCCCCCAATTATAAGGCCCTGGAACCCACACAGGGATATGGAATCAGCAGAGAAAGAAGATTATTATGGCCTGGAGAGAATGAGGCACCTGGGTGTAACCAGAGGGTCTGACCGGCTCACTACACTCAGAGGAAAGGCAAAACAGACTTTTAACCAGATTGTGAGCGGTACCATCAGTATTGGAACCCTGCGCTGGCTGCTGAAGATGTGGATGGAGCATGCATGGGAATACCCCGAGTGTTGTGATGTCAATTCTTGACTCAACTCAACTCAACTCAACCCACACAAGGATGGATGGAAACAATTTACTGTTGTGGTTTCTACATAATGAATATTTCTGCAACTGGTCGACTTGCACAAAATTTGAAATACCTCATCTCTGTGTTGGCTATTGTTTGTGTCTTCTTTATTCACATTCACAATGGGGAAACACTGCTCTGATTTCAAAAAAGGTTGTTTATGCCCATTTACAGTCAACTCTGGAGCAATGTGAGAAAATCTCTCACCTGTCCCAAGAAATAAGAATGTCACATGTCAATATTTAAATCAACTTACCTATGACCAAGGCTGATGCCTCCCGCTGAAAAGACAAATTTACAAACCTTATCAAAATACCAACAACAACAAGATACTAAATAGTTCTGAGGAAAATCTGTAACAATCACATGTAATAAAAAATAAAAGGCATTAACAATTACAATTGCAGTATCAAAGATTCATTTCATCAAAGCTTTCAAATTAATTCTTGTTTTTAAACATTTGAAGGATTGGGGGCTGCCATATATTCAAGGGGCTGCCACGTGAAAGGATTTAAAACTGATGATTGATTGATTGGCACCTTTCCGTCTTTCCCGACGATAGTGTTCATTTGCGCTATGAGGAGACATGGGACTCGCAGCCCATGGTGATGGCAAGTGTGACTAGCAAGACTTGCTTACGTTAAGAAAAGTCTTCTACAAACAATGATTGATAATGATAGCATAAGATTTAAAACCATTTATTAAATGATTTAAATTTAAGATCAATAAAATTTATTATATAAATCATGTATGTTTTCGTGTGCCGGTTTTGTATGTTTTTAATTTTAAAATAAGCGCAAAGATTCTTTTGCTTACATATTACCTAAAAATATCAGAACTATAATATATACTGCGCCAACTTTGTCCTCCTTGATTATTTCTTCCGATTTCTCCTCCTTTACCCGGCTAGCTCTTGTCTTGCGTTGTCTGCTGCTAGGCGCCATCTTGTTATAAGAATGACGTACTCGATTACTATAATTGAGGAGGAATGGCGATATTTGATCATCATCATCATTATCTGATTTGATTTGATTCATGAACCGACATCATAGCACTCGGTGTATTCCCATAAGCGTCACGTCCTCATCTTTAGCAGCCATTGAAGAGTTCCGATACTAATGGTGCCAGTAGCATTCTGATTAAACGTCCGTCTTGCCTTTCCTCTGAGCCTCGAGCATCTGCCAGAACCTCTTGTCACTCCTCCCTGCATCAATCTCACCAGACTGTGCGTGATCCATCTGCTACTCCTAACTGTACACGCTCTCCCATAAGGCACTAACCACGTCTGCCTTATCATGCATCAGTATTTCAAGAAACTGTGAAGGGCCAGCCATTCTGTCCACCTGTTCATTTCCCACACATCGGCGTCCCCTGGCGAAAAAAATCCAGACAATACTCCTCACATGTGTCCTCCGCAGCAAGGCATGCCACTCTGTAAGAAGCATGCCTGTCTTAATCTTCCTCGGCATGCTTTCTGAGTCAGTTACAATCACGATGTGTGTGTGTGTCGTGTTCTCTAGCCAGCGGAAAGCTGCAGTGACCTCCATTCTTAAGCTTGATGTTGTAGTATCATATGCTAGGCTCTCCTGCACCAAACGTCGACCAATAACTTTTGCTAAGAAACCCCAAGCACTTCTTTTGTCTCTTGACACTGAACTGTCTGTGTAAATAATCAAATCTTCGGAGCGAGCATTATCTTGAATTAATTGCTGAATTTCCAACTCTGTGGCACCTGCTGGACAGTCTCTGCATTCCCGGCTCAGTGTGACTGTGACCCTACACAAGTCTGACTGTTCAGGTGGCACTTTGACCCAGTCCTCTCCTCGCCTAATGTTCTCAAGGATGCAAATTTGTCTGATTGGAAGAGTCTGATCTATGTATGGTCATGGTCACATTAGGCCGAGTGCAGAATGGCCAGCGTGGGCTACTGAGGTGGAAGTCCAACAGTTGATTCATGACAGTTCTCGTCCTGATGACCTGATTATCTACACAGATGGTTTTGTATTGAGAGGAAAGAGAAGTGTCTGGGGTTCCGTAGCGAAAGCCAATTGAAAATCTTTAGTGCCGGACAGCCTAGCATTTGATACCACGACATCTAGAAGGAGAATGAAGGTGGAGGCGGTTACTGCAGCGTACCTGTAGCTAGAGAACAAGATACATACACATGTAATTGTAACGGACTCTGAAAGCATGCTGAAAAAGGTAATGACAGAATTTATTCGAGCAGAGTGGCAAGCTTCCCTTGCAAGGTCGTGGGTAGTGAGCATTCTTTGGATCTTTTCTCCAGGTTATGCCGGCGTGGTGGATAATGAACAGGCAGTTAGACCTGCTGGATCTTCACTGATGGGTGGTAAATTGATGCTTGACAAAGCAGATGTGGTCAGAGTTCTTTGGGAACAAGTAACGAAGTCAGAAGAGAAGCTAGATTATTATGGGCTGGAGAATATGCCTATTTTACTTTGCCTGGTGTGTCCTTCTATCTTTATATCGTCCCAATAAACACACACACACGCCCATATATATATATATATATATATATATATATATATATATATATATATATATATATATATATATACATATATACATATGTATATATCATCATCAGGTGCCTTGCCGACTGGCGTGGGCGATCATGCCTTTCCATAATCTGCGATCTCCTGCAGCATGTTTCAGTTCGTGTGCCGACACACCTCCATGCCATGCAACAAGACTGTCAAGCATCTTCTCTTGTTGTCTTCCTTTATCTCTACTTCCACATTTCTTTCCAGTGGTCACAACATATTCTATTTTCCCTCTTCTCATAACATGGCCGAAAAATGACGACTGTCTCCTTCTGATGTCTGTGATAAGTTGTCTTCGGGCTCCTGCCTCTTTCAAAACCTCTTGGTTGCTCTTTTTGGCTGTCCAAGGTATTCTAAGCATTCTTCTGTAAAACCACATCTCCGAGGCCTCCAGAAATTGTTTGACCTGCCTACCGATTGTCCAGGATTCACAGCCGTATGTTAAAAATAATATATATATATATATATATATATATATATATGTGTGTGTGTGTGTGTGTGTGTGGATGTGTGTGTGGGTGTGTGTGTATGTATGTGTGTGTGTCTGTGTAGAGAAGAGGCAAAGGTGCTTCACTTAGAATTGACATTAAATTGCGAAAATATAATTAGCTGCTAAGCTGATACTATCTTTCTTTATAAAAGAGCTCGAAAGTGTCTTAGCAACGCGAGGCATAAATAGTGCGACTAATGTATGAGCTTCCTAGCGTAAACCCGGGTTTCCTATATATATTTATTGAATTTAGAATGTAGATTGGAAAACTTTACGTTTGTAGAGGCATTTAGCTTTTGACAACCCAACATTTTGCTTCAGGAAAAAACTGTTCATCACAATTTACTAAAATGTAATCATTATTAATTATATTAATAATATTTCATTTGGCTAACCTCCGAATAACGGTCCTAAATTATCAAGGCGGAAAATATACTCTAATAGGGCCTCAGTCACGTGTCAATTGCACACTTCCGGGGACTATAACGCCACCGCCGAATTGCGAACTTCCAGCACCTTCCGCGTGGATTGGGGCTAAACTAGATGGCTAGAACTCATGAGCAAATAAAACATAGGAAGCTGTAGGAGATGCGGTAGTTGCTGCTCGTGAGTCCCAGCCATCTAGGTTAGCCCCAATCCACGCCGCATAAGTGGCGTGGGGGATACCCTCAGCGGTGCCGGAAGTGCCCAATTTAAGACGACGTAAGTGCGCAATCAACACGTGACTGAGGCCCTGCTAGGGTATATTTTCCGCCTCGATAATTTAGGACCGTTATTCGGAGGATAGCCTTTTATTTTAATTCTTTAAAAGATGTTGATGACACAACAGCAAACCATTGTCTTCAAATTATCATTTCTGTTTTTTTTTTTAAATTAAAAACGATGAATGCACTTTATTGGTTTAGAGGCAAAGATTACTTATAATATATACAAGATTTTCAGATAGCTTAAAATAATGACTGCTATTGGCGTGATGATATCCAAGACAACTTTGAGTGGGTCTCCGAGTTCCATGACCAACTTCTGCTACAACGACACCAGCGGAACAGGCAGTGATTTCCGCAATGCAGTCCAGCAAATTGAGGAACGCAGGCTACTTAGATATACACAATTTCCTTCACTGACAGGCATTTATGACTGCCCCAGAGATCATTCAGAAAATAAAATAAAGACAGTCAGGTGGGAAAAGGAAGTAACATCAACAGTTAAAGCTCCACACAGAGCTTATGATAATTTAATTGATCCTATATCAGGGTTTGTTAACAATTACGCTGTTGATGATGTAGACGGGAATATAGGGAACATTCCAGTTGAATCCATGGTCCAGTTAATAAAAACACCACAGTATATAATACCAAGAGCAGAAACTTTACAACAGAAGAAATTAGTTTCCCCATGTGATTTAACTGGATTGAATACATGGTCGCCTGGAGCACCGACTGCCTGGAATAGCAGGAAGACACAAGATATGTGGATTAGATCCAAACTTGGAGGTTAGTGATAATACTTTTTCCATATGTGATACTTTTCCAGTGTATAGTGATTTTTTTCTTAATAGCCAAAAACCATGAGTTCTTAACCCTTTGGCTCGGTACTATGGATATCGCAACCCTTCGGCCTTGATTCTATGATAAATACCATAAATCTGGGAGAAATGTGACTTTTCTGCCTACACCCAGGCGTGAACCCAGACCACAAGGAGTTTGTCACCCGGTCGTCGTGCAGTCAGGTTTAGCTAACTACACTAGCAAGCCGGGCGAGGAAGGAAGTCTTTGGGTAGTGAGATCGGACACATTGTTGCGCATGTAAAAAAAATCCCTTGGCAGTTGGAAATTGAAAAAAGTAGCCTAACAGCGCTGCCCAGGCAAAATTTGAAGTTTAAAATCTACTCAAAGTATTTCAGGATCCTCACTGGTGCTACAGAGCCTGTGCACTGTGCTGAGCTTCTTCGGACTCAGACTTGAGTAAGAAGAAGAACTGAGCACTTATAGGTTACACCCGTGTGCTATGATGTTGCTCCGCTGTTCAAAACCTCAAACCTCTCAGATGCAGAGTGTCTTTTTCTAGTAAATACCCAACAGTTACTGCATGACTCTTGAAATTTTATATATTTTCAATACCTGAAAAATAATTCTTTCCCACTGTTTCCATTAATTAGCTTGTCAAATGGCAATTGTGATCATTCCTGTCTCCATTTTAAATGAACAAATAAAATATTAATTGAATTTCTGTCACATTTATTTCACTCTAAACTCAGGCTGGACTAGTGATGTTGACCCAAGGAAGGCAAACGATTTAGGAACAAAGCCACAGGTATAATTGTTCATAATTTTCTCATGTTTGTGTAGCTGTAGTAATTGTAGTATATGTTGTCTACCAGGAAGCTCTAGAGAGACACCTGATTTGAATTTGAGCATAGGTCTGGGCATTTGTACAAGAATCATTGGCTTCTAATCATACCTTCTTATTATATCTTCTTTATGGTCGTCAAAGATATAGTTTTATTAGATGCAGGCAAAACTGGCGTTCAGTGTGCACTTTGTGCCTGTTAACAATGCTAGGGCAGTTGGAAATTACAATGAGTAGGCTCTAAGACCACTAACTTGGCATAAATATTGGGGGGAAACACAAAATTACCCATATTTAGGTAACATTCATTGCCTTAGATGGAAATCGTTAGGGAAGTAAACCCTCTACAGGTCATTGCTTAAATTAGATAGACTACCTCAGCGGGACATGACTAGGTGCAGCATAGTTTTCTCAAGAAGAGGAAGAATGTAGGAAAAGTGCATTGCCTTTACAGCTTACAAAGTTTGAATGTAAAAGTAGTGATGTAGAAGAGTGGGTATGCTGAGAAGTGGTTATATCAGCCCTATATTATGAGGCATGGGTTCCAGTCTCCACCAAGGCAAGGGGTTTTTGTCTAAGGGATCAAACCATATCATGACCTTTACTTTGTATAACTACTTCATAGGCAAGCTGGCTTTAATCTTCTCAACAAAAATCTACAATCTTATAAAATGCGGTAAATATAGAAAAACATTAGTGTTTTATATTACATATCGTTATAAAATACTTTTAAGTAGGGGGAAGTGCCATGTCAGTTCTATAATTATATGAAAGAATTAAAATAAAATCATGACCTTTACATGTATGACCACTTTGTAAGCAAGCTGGCTTTAATCTTCTGAACAAAAATCTACAGTCTTATGATTTGATTTGATTTGATTCAAGAACCGACATCACAGCACTCAGGGTATTCCCATAAGCGCTGCATCCCCATCTTCAGCAGCCAGTGAAGTGTTCCAATACTAATGGTGCCAGTAGCATTCTGATTAAAAATCTGTCTTGCCTTTCCTGTGAGCCTAGAGCATCTGCCAGTCTTATACAGTCTTATGAAACGCATTATACATAGAAAAACGTTAGTGTTTTGTATTACATTGATGTATACAATTCATTTAAGGCATCACACACTTGCCAAGTGTCTAGGGGGTTTGTAATAATAAGTGCCTATAAATGTCTGTCCTCAACCATACACTGGATTCCCTCTATTCTCAAACCATGCCATCCATGATACTGTCCCGGCAATATGGCCACCCTACTCAAGGTGTGGAACAAAATCTTATACTTGTTTGTATTTTTACTTTCAAAAGAGTTCTCTGGAGAAAGAAGAGAGTCAGAATGTGCAAGATCAGTTGGCTCTCAAGTATATATACAGTAGCTCTACACAAAGGTAAAATATGTGTATGTGTGATAATTTTAATCATAAAGTTAATTTTTATTACATTTAGATTAGTTCAGCCTTCCATACTTTAATTGTAATGAATTTGCAGAGCATGGTTTCAGAAAATGTAAACAAATGTCATATGTTTAAATATACTGCCTTTTGTTAAGTCTCAGATCAAACAATATATTGAGTATACTGCATTTTGTTAAGTCTCAAATCAAACAATAAATTATGGCTTTTCTGCCTAATGCATGAAGGTGTGTTTAGTAACGAGAATACTGATAGACTGGCTGCTTCTGCCCTTCTGGGCAGTCAATCTTTCATAATAAGGCGGATGTGGGGAAGGCCCTCTGGGATCAGGCAAACAGTGCCACAGAATAGAGTATTTGGCTATCCTCAGAATAACGGTCCTAAATTATCAAGGCGGAAAATATACCCTAACAGGACCTCAGTCACGTGTCAATTGCGCACTTCCGGGGACTATAACGCCACCACCTAATTGCGTACTTCCGGCAACTTATGCCACCGCCGAGAGTATCCCTCACGCCGCTTACACGGCGTGGATTGGGGCTAAACTAAATGGCTAGGACTCACTAGCAAATAAAATGAAGGAAGCTGCAGGAGATGCGGTAGCTGCTGCTCGTAAGTCCTAGTCATCTAGTTTAGCCCCAATCCACGCGGCGTGAGCGGCGTGGGGGAAACTCTCGGCGATGGCGGAAGTTGCCAAAAGTTTGCAATTCGGCGGTGGCGGAAGTCACTGGAATTGCGCAATTTAAGACTACGGAAGTGCACAATTGACATGTGACTGAGGCCCTGTTAGGGTATATTTTCCGCCTCTATAATTTAGGACCATTATTCGGAGGATAGCCGAGTATTCATATCTTGAGGAATTGATTCAGCGAGATGTGAGCAGCAGGTATCGACAACACACACACAGTGCCAAAATAGGTCTACTTTCAAGACAGGTATTTCTGATTCCATGTTGGCCTTGTCAGTTGTTTTGATTAGTCTTTTATTTTGTCTGACAAAAACTGTCATCTAAATGTTTGGTTGTATTTGTGCATGTCTTTTCCTTTCCCTCTTTTGAGCCTCCTTGTCATAGTCTGTTTTGCATTTAGTTGCTTCTTGATATTAGCTAAACGGTAGAAACTCTTATTTACGTGACTTTAAACCGGCTTGTATGTCAGATAAAGCAAACATCATAAACTGGATGACTCTAGACTATTTTCTAGCAAAATACAAGAGGAGTTTTGTGGGGTGGAAAAGGGGAAGGGGGGGGGGGGGGGGGGGCAGATTACAACATTGACCTCATTGACAGGTGACTGAGATTCAGTAAATTAATTGCAGTCTTTTCTTTTAGAAAATTTAATTCATTTTTTATTGTTCTATGTAAACATTTACATAGTAGTTCGGGATTTTTTTTTTTTTTGTAGAGAAAAAAAGTGTGAGTACTCACAACAAGAATCTATTACACTAGCGCACAAAAATATGAGGCATTTGAAATGGGTGCCGGTACTGTGTAATGTTGCGTACTGCCAGAGAAAAAGCCCTGCCAATAGTTGTGAAAACAAATACTGGCTAACCAAATTGTTAACCATGGATGATTTGATCATTGCCATTTCCAGGCAGTTATTAAATCAATAATATGTTTTTTTAATTTCATGTCTAAGTGTTCACAATAGTCATTGAAATTACTCCTAATAAATTATTTCCTGTCCTTAAGCATTTGTTTCTTGTGTTGATACTTGCCAGAGGTTATGAAGATGTGCCGTGGGATAGCATCTTACAACCTAAACAGTGGCCATCAACATTATCCGTGTATGACAAGCCAGATCTTGTTCTGTATCAACGAAATGCTAAAACCTGCAGCCCAGAAAAGCAACATTGCCAGGTTTAAATATTATTATTGTACTAAATCAAATGGGATTCAGTGTTGCTGTTCTCTTGCTTCTTTTTCTCCTCTCATCCTCCTTTTTTCTTCTTCTTCTTTCATCTCCCTCCTTCTTATTCATCCTCTTGGTATGTCAATTTCGGTCATGATTATCCTGTTTATTGATTCAGCGCAACAGGCAGCATCCAAATGATGGTTGGTTTCAGCTATAAAATTAGACGATATCACTCCTTTTCAAGCAATGGCAAACTATTTAACATACAAATTTGCCTTGAAAAACCACAAAAGCCAAAAAAATGATGGGGTTGGTTCAGCAAAAAAACCTATGAAGGATATGCAACTAATTTACTTCCTCTTTATAGGGGTGGTTTGTGAGGTGGCCAAAATGCACAATAATTTGAAATGAAAATTTTAATAATGAGTTTGTTTTAATTTTAGTCAGAAAAATTTTAATTCAAGGTGGCCAGTATGTAAATTTTTACTTATTTGCTGGAAGTTAGGTGGCATACCTCTATTTTCTTCTTCTTATAGTCCATGTCATTCCATGTCACGTGGCATTGGTAGTCATGTCTATCCACAACATTCTGTTTTGTGTACTTTCAGTCAAGTTTGAAACATACAATCTTCCATACCATGATGTCAATCTGTCCAGCGTCTTCTCTCTCCCCTCTTTATCTTTTCCCCTCCAACTTTCCCACGATCATGAACTTCTGATGTCGACAGTCACTTTTCTTTGTAGTTCAAGACATCGTCAGTACACTTTTTATCTGCAACGTTATTCATCTAACTTCGTATAAATCTTAAAAAAACACGTACTTTATTTAAATTGTAGGCTTCTAAGGCCGTAAATCACGTTAGCATGCATGTAGAATAGTGCTTGGTGGCCATATTCTTTTCAAACAAACACATAGTAACTCGGAAATCTCTCAAATATACTATATTTTTGGCTTTCAACCCACGTTTCTAAACGAGCATGCTTGATATCAGACACAAAGAACTCTGAAGGAAGTTCACATTGGGCAGTCTACATTTTACAACCGGTCAGTGATAGGTTAAAAGCCTTCACTTATCATGCGTTGATTGGGCCGCTAGATTAAAACAAATTAGCGCGTGATGCGTTCCCTGGGACTCAAAGAGTTAATAGATTTTTTTTAACATAAACATGTGAAAATGAAAATGATGCCAATGTAATGTTTGTGAAATAGTTGGTAGTATTTATAAATATATTTATTGATCAAATAATACGCCTGTAGTACATTCTGTTTTGGTCAAGGTCATGCTGAAATGAATTACCATGATTTGTGTACTATTTCTTTCAGATGTCAAATGCAAGCACCTCAGGGATTTCGTCAAGATATCCTAACTGCCAGGATGGTTTAAAGAACTGGTAAATGAAACATTGTTCCCCCCCCCCCCCCCTTTTTTTTTTTTAAATATGAAAAAAAAAAGTCTGTTAAGATTTGTTGTTGATGCTATTTAACACACGATTAAAAAATTGGTGAAAGTAGTTCCATGGCAGAAACATTTCTATCAGAAAATAGTCTGATGCTCATTTTTTTAAGCTGGGGTGACCCCAGGTCTGAAATGTAAAAATGACATGCCCATGTGTTGGGAAATGAAAAGGGGGAAGGTTTGGCTGGCTCTGTACAACTTGGTGGAATATTGATGCATGATAAGGTAGATGTGGTTAAGGTCTTGAGGAAGCATGTGTACAATTTGGAGGAGCAAGTGGTTCATCATAGTCTAGTGAGAGTGATGCATTGACGAATGACAAGGACATCTGGTCAGTAGCAAGATGAATATATAATCAGACTGCTAATGGCACCACTGGTATTGGAACTCTGCGCTGGTTGCTTAAGATGGAGTCTGAGCGCTAATGTGAATGCCTCGAGGGCTGTGATGTCGATTCTCAAATAAACTCAACAATGAAGAATCTTACCATTACATAGAATAATCTGTTGCAGTAAACAGTTACATTTGTTTTAAAAATCTTTTATTAAATTGACGTAAATTGTGTTAGTTCTGTTTGTGAGGAATGTAACTGAATCAGCACATAAATGTTTATTGTTTCATTTTCCACAGTGCTTCACTGGAATACCAATTACAACAGTCACCGTTATACAGGTAATTATCAACTGTTGGAGTACACATTTTGATCAGCAAAATAGCTTAGAGAACAAGTGTAATACAGTACAGACCCCTTAAGGAGAATTTTGGTTATGTGGAACAATTTATTTATCCCTGGTAATTTTTCTTGCTTGAACTCTTATCTGGCTAAGAGGAATTTCTGATAAGAAGAACTATTTCTTGGGTCCCTGGTGAGTAATCCTCATCAGGTCTGCACTGTATTGAGAGTCTTCGCAGCAAACCATGATAAGAGTGACATTTTTCGTAGTACCTTCTGTGTGATATCAATATAATAAATACCTCTAAACAGATGGTTCATGCTATACATAAACTATTATTGGAACCTTGCTGTCCAGAATGATTGACCTATCTAAGCTGCATAATGACTTGTCGTAAAATCTTTGGTTTACAATAAAAAAAAGGTGCCAGGATTGTGTAGAACAATAAGTAGGAGAGGAAAAATAAAACCACTAACTGGAGAGATTAGGCAAAACAGAGTTAAAAAATATATAATTTAATAACTTCTTCTTATTCCACTTATTCATTCATCTGTAAATGAATAATTGGCATGTTGTGTTGTGGTTTACAGCTAGGCTGCACATTTTGGCCCAACACGCCCAGTTTCATTGTGTCCTTAATTAGTCGCCTTTCATGACAAGCTTCTTGTCCTCTTTGTGTGGCCCTAGAACAGCAGCGCTGTTTCACCTAAGTTTAAACATTGTTGTGTTAGCTTTCTTTCATCCCGTTTTGCAGGTACTAATTTTGGCGCTACTGTGTGAATAAATCCAGTCTCCTTGAGGTTTACTCTACACCGTGTCCTGAATCTTTGAGAGGAACCTCCTTTTGTCTTACATTGCCTTGTGTTATTTTTCTTATTTTTTCCTTTAGGCGTATTTTGGGTTAATGGATTTTGCAGCTAAAGTTTTCTACAGGTTGGAGTAACCAAAAACAGTCCAATACGCGGTTCTGGAAAGATTACAGATGAAAAGAGAATTACTGAAAGAAATAGAAAGGAGGCAGTTAAAATACTTTGGCCACATTAAAAGACATAATATGCTTTTAAAAACCATACAGGAAGGAAAGGTGGAAGGCAGAAAAGCAAGAGGTGTGCAACGATACAAGTGGGAGGACAACTTCAAGAGATTGACGGGCAGCAGTCTGAAAGTGTACAACCAGAGCATGTTGGAGATCCATTGCAGCCAACTTTTACTGTGGAGACAGCACATGATTGATGATTGACTGAATGAACCATTCTTACATCAACTGAATCAACGGGGGTCTCTCTGCAGGGGTTAGCTTGTTTGCCTTGTGCTCTGAAGGCTGTGTGATTGTTTCTCAGATGTGTCAATCAGTTCGCTAGTGCAGATCTTACAGAGATCCCTGGGATTGTCACTGAATCTGTGGAGTTTGTGCTTTGTGTGATGCCCTTGGCAGGCAGCTAGCCATTCTTCTGAGACAGACCAAACCATATGGGATAACCTGGGGCAACCTAGGGCAATGAAGTCAATTGTCTCAACTTTTAACTTAAACTATTTCAGCCATCTCTTACAAGCAGGTGTTATTCTTTGCTTCTCTTACCAATAATGTTTGCACTTGAATATGTTCATTTTATATTTGAAGATGAGTCTTTGAAATATCTGTACTTTATTATTTTATTTCTATTACTAGATCATATGCTCTAGAGAAGCCATCTTGTGATCACAGGAGGAAGTCTCGCATGTCTAAGATGGTCACCTTAGTTCCCCCATATAACCCATTCAGTGTTGTAGAGAAAGTTCCACTGCATTCTTGAAAATTCTTCCACTGGTATTGAGGATAAATCTATTTTGTTAGTGTAGCAGATTAATTGTTTCATGGCAAATATATTGTAGTCTTGTGCATTTATTTATAAATATGTTTTTTCATTACACTGGAAAAGTATTAATTATGAAAGATATAAAGGGATTTTCATATCTGCTGCTGAATTGTTCATATTTGAATTTAAATATGCATCTTCTTCTTCTTCAGCATTTCGAGTCTTTTCGCTGCAGATATCACCCACCTTTGTTCACTTCTGTCTTCTTCTTCTCCTCGGCATTCACCGGCTGTAAACTCGGGCAGCTGGTTGTTCAGCCACCTCTGGACTTTGGACTTGTTCAAGAACCTGAGTGTTGCGTGCACATCCGTTTTGCAGATCTGACTTATTTGTGTGTAGATGGTTGATTCCTTGCCTCCTAGGCAGATGTACTCCGACTTTAAAGGAAACCCCCATTTAATCGACTCTTACAACATGCTTGATAGGGAGGCAGTGGGTTTGTTCTTGTTTTCCCACAATAGGGCCCCGGAACCCACACAGATTTTAATCACCTCTGTGATTGGCCTTCTCTTTTTAGTTGGTGACTCCAAGTATTTGTAGGTTGCATGTATATCTCTCCATGGATTTCTTGTTCTGCCTTGTGGTCTAGATTTAATTCACTGGTTAAGTTTAACTTTACTTTAATTTGCAAAATTGTATCAATATTACACATGATTTTAAAATTAATACTGAGAAATGATGACAAAGGTAACATTAACCATAAATGTACCAGCTGCCAAACAGTAAAAGTTATAGTGTAAAACTTTGAGAAAGTTTTTGTTGAAGATGAAAGTAAGTTGTAAAATGCAATTGAGACTAATTAGGAGTGTTTCCTTCAGAGTGCATCTGCTTGTGAGGTGAGGAACCAACAGTCTGCATATAAATAAGCCAGATTTGGCGGAAAATAGATATGCACACAAAACTCAAGTTATGGGAGAAGAGCAAAGTCCAGAAGTGGACGTACAACGAAAACTGTATGCCAACGTTTACCTTTGTTGAGTGCTATGAAGAACAATAAAATCACTACTTACCTGACTCATTTACTTAATCAACTGCATTTTTAATATATGGAATTGGCTTTTTTTACAGTTTTGTTTTTTTAGTAGTTCAATAATAGTTTTTAACTAAGTCTCGCCCAATGTGCTGTTATAGTTTTATCATTGAACATTGAGCTGCTGCACATTTGTTGTCAAAATTAGTTATTAATCATGTGCCTTAATTAGTTAATCAGCTGCATTTATATCATATATAATTAGTTTTTGTTTCGTGGTTGAAAAACAGTTTTTCATTGACTGTGTCTTGCCTAAAAACAGTGTTTAAAGACCATGTCTTGCCCAATATACTTTGACAGTTTTATTAAAGAACATTTTCTGTTTAAATGGAGTTATGTATAATCAAATGCATAGGTGGATTCTATAATGTTACAGTTTAATTATGGTAACATATATATATATATGTTGCTGTATTATAATAGTCTTCCAAAGCATGTTTTACAAAATATTATCACTTTAAATGTGAGCAATTCTACACTGAAACCTGTAGAAATGGAAAAAAAAAATTTGTGTTCAGAACCATTAGTGATCAGTGAATGCCTGATTGACCTGGGTTTAAATCTTGCCCACTTGGGGAATTAGTAAATGAGTGATGCTTAACTGGCCAGACGGACATGTGAATTTTTCTTGGAGATGACTCAGTTAAGTGATTTTTGTGTGTTCTTGTTTGTAAATCTAATACTTTCTGTTCATAATGTGCACATAAAAGGCATTTTAACTGCAACGTTCACTTTCATTTGCGATTGTGATAATGTGAAGCTGACTAGTTCTACTTTTTGTTTGGTCTATTTTTTTTTCATGATGTTGTGACTATGTGGCTCCAAGGTTTACCAAGTTACAAAATTAGTACCTGCAGATGTTCTGGTCAGTATGGGCAGGTAAAATAAGATGGGCAGTGTGATACTGTCCACATGTTTCATAGAATGCTTTCTAGTCACAGAAGTCCAAGTCTTCTTGTCGCCATATCCCTAGTACATTAGGATGGCATGGAAGCGGGTCACGGATCTTAAATGCTGGCATAGTTTTATGATTTCATAATGGAGGTAAATCATGGACAGTATGCAGATAAGGGAGAAATTATTTCTCCGGAATACACCTGGTACTCACTCAAGGCTAGGTCGACCTGGGAGCCAAGGTCATTTTTGAAAAAAAGTCCAGCTTCATCAGGATCTAAACCCATGACCTTTTAATCCGCAGGTAAGCCTCTAGCCGCTACATCATGGCGACTCCCACATGATACATCACGGCGACTCCCATATGATATATCATGGCGACTCCCACATGATACATCATGGCGACTCCCATATGATATATCATGACGACTCCCACATGATACATCATGGTGACTCCCACATGATACATCATGGTGACTTCCATATGATACATCATGGCGACTCCCATATGATACATCATGGCGACTCCCACATGATACATCATGGCGACGCCCATATGATACATCATGGCGACTCCTACATGATACATCATGGCAACACCCACATGATACATCATGGCAACTCCCACATGATATTGTGGCTGGGCATTAATGGTTTGCATTTATAGAATATATAATGAACTGATCAAAAAGTTCTATCTACTTATATTTGCTGATACACTAGTCTTCCATCGACCAAGTCTTGCCTGTCCTAATGAGCATTTCAATTAAAGACCAGATTTTGATTTGAAATTCCACTACTATCTGGAATGCTGTGCGGTAATTTGCTTGCACTGCATTTCATTTTCAAGCTGAAATTTAATATATATGAAACTTTAATGTAGTTTGTGTTGAATTGTTAAGTTTAGTTTCCATGGTCAGAATTAATATTTAAGATTAAAAAACTGTAATGTACTCCTCTGATTTACTGTTTGTTTAGTTTATACGTTTATATATATATATATATGTTTATACACTTATAACAACTTATAACAACTAATAACCACCGTCCCAATATGTGACGCAGTTTTTCGTTATTTTAAGCCCCACTCCGGCTAATGCCAGGAGCCTTAATATAACCAAAATAACCTAACCTATGGGTTGAACAAGGTTCCAGGTACTTGTGCCAGGTGATCCTCATCCAAATTGTGGCACTTTGTGTCACCAGGTGTTGGTCGCTGGTTGTACGGTCCTGGTGGGGTTGAACAACATATATAGATTTACTATCTGTGTTCTAATAAACTGTGATTTACTTGTCTAATTTACTGTTAAGCTAGTTGTATAGGACTGACATAGACAGATTTATAAATGTAAAATATTTGTGTACCAACCATTGCACCTGAGTTATCACTTATTATCTATATAATATATATAGCAGAACATGCTAAGTAAATTACATTTTGTTTGAGAGTAGTGCTGTTGAATGTATTTTTGTGTGTCTTCTTCTTGGATCCTTCTGTCAGAAAACTTATATCAGGAAGCCAGTAGCATTTATGAAAACTATTGTGCATCCATATCTCCAAGGGTACCATACAGTTTTTGTTTTCATGGAACAGGGCCAGACTGCATTTCTGTTGGCAACAAACAGTTGACAGTGTTGAAGCTCATAATCAACATTTTATTGTGCCATGCTACAGGGACACGTCTCCGTGTTTCCTACAAAGAAAAGTTTGAACATATGTTGACGAAATCTGTTGTGCCCTGTCCTTAGTCTGAATATAATACACTGTCCCTCTCTAGAGAGGCGATGAAGCGAGTCTTCAAGAGAGAATCTGGTGTGTGTATCCAGCCACCTTTTTGTTTGTGACCATTTATACTTTTATGTCCTTTTTTTTTCTTAATTCCCCCATAACCTGCATTCACCAGCAGAAAGTTCTGGTTGTTCGTCCATCTCTGGACTTTAGTCTCGTTCTGAACCCTAGTGTTGCATGCATATCTGTTTTACAGATCTGACTTATTTATATGCAGATTGTTGGTTCCTTGCTTTCAGGTAGATGCACTCCGACTTCAAAAGAAGGGCTCAGTTAGTTAACTCTTACGACATGCTTGTTAGGGAGTCAGTGGGTCTAATCGTGTTTTTTCCACGATGGGTTCTCAGAATAAACATGGGAAATTAAATGTTCACAATATGACAAATGTAGACCTTGTCTTGGTATCTCTGTTTACTCTAATGTTCACAATATGACAGATGTATACCTTATCCTGGTATCTCTGTTTACTCTAATGTTCACAATATGACAAATGTATACCTTATCCTGGTATCTCTGTTTACTGTAATGTTCACAATATAACAAATGTAGAACTTGTCCTGGTATCTCTGTTTACTCTAATGTTCACAATATAACAAATGTAGAACTTGTCCTGGTATCTCTGTTTACTCTAATGTTCACAATATGACAAATGTATACCTTATCCTGGTATCTCTGTTTACTCTAATGTTCACAATATAACAAATGTATACCTTGTCCTGGTATCTCTGTTTACTCTAATGTTCACAATATGACAAATGTATACCTTATCCTGGTATCTCTGTTTACTCTAATGTTCACAATATGACAAATGTATACCTTGTCCTGGTATCTCTGTTTACTCTAATGTTCACAATATGACAAATGTAGAACTTGTACTGGTATCTCTGTTTACTCTAATGTTCACAATATGACAAATGTATACCTTGTCCTGGTATCTCTGTTTACTCTAATGTTCACAATATGACAAATGTATACCTTATCCTGGTATCTCTGTTTACTCTAATGTTCACAATATGACAAATGTATACCTTGTCCTGGTATCTCTGTTTACTCTAATGTTCACAATATGACAAATGTAGAACTTGTACTGGTATCTCTGTTTACTCTAATGTTCACAATATGACAAATGTATACCTTGTCCTGGTATCTCTGTTTACTCTAATGTTCACAATATGACAAATGTATACCTTGTCCTGGTATCTCTGTTTACTCTAATGTTCACAA